TAAGCAATCAAGCCAATATAGTTTTGAATTAACTTGGATTTTAAATTTATGAAAAAAAAAAATGCTATTATTTTCCTGTTCTACCAAATTTAGAGGTTGAAATATTATTTGATGTGGAAGTTTCTAGCCGCCTTTTATTCATTTCTCTGTTGTGTCAAAGAGAATTCTTTATTGTAAATACCAGTACAGATAACTTTACTCCATCCCATCATTACAGGAAGGAATTGGGCTTTCTTAAATGACACATAAGAGAAAAAACTCCTTTTTCTGAAAATGGGATGGTGATAGTTAATGTACTGTACTGTACTGGAAAAAAGATGCACTCATCTTCAACAGGATACATAAAATCAAGAGGGAATGTTGATAGAGAAAAAAAAAATACAAAGAGGGAATTAATACATTGGAAAAGCCTTCCATAATAAAAGAGGAAAACTTGCAATACACAAAAATATGGAAGAATCAGAAATGTTTCTGGGCAAGTTGAACAAATATGGGATTGGAATAGAAATGCTGGAAGCCTTAGATGATTTCTGCATTAACAAGGTTGTTGACTTGATAAATGAAAGATGCAACAGTTTTGATATACAGAAGACCTTAGTAGATACATTTTCATAGTGCTGCCTAACAAGTCAAATGAATGCAAACTATGTTGTACAATCAGCCTAATGAGCCACATAATAAATCTTATCGTACAAATTCTGACGAATAGCGTGTGTAGCAAAATTAGATTGGGAATGGGACACGAGCAGTTCAGTTTTCTTTTCTTTTCTTTTTTCTTTTTTTTTTTTAAAGACCCTGGAATAAGGAATGTGATATTTAGGCTCAGAATGATATCCGAAAGAGCAATACAGATGCTAAAAGATGTGTGTAGTAGCATATCTACGGACGATAATGGATATGTCCCCATTCACATAAATACAGTAGTAAATACTGTATGTTGGTCTGCAGTTGGAGATTTGTCTCCAGCTGTGCTGGTTAAACTCTCTGCCTCTGGGCAGAGGATCCTCAAACAAGGATATGTCAACGGGCAGTCTCTCATCTCTGGGAAACAGCTACTCCACCCCATTTTATACAGGGTCTGCGGGGAGTTTTTGGCTGAGCCTATGGGCTCAGATACCCCACATTAAATTCGGCCTTGTGCCACATCTGACTGCATGGGGCAGTTGGTAGATATCCTGCAGTTGGAGATTCATTGTGGAATGCATTTGACTCGCTTCTAACAGTTTAGTACTTCTACGCACCACTGGCAAATCTTATGTGTTCTTGTCCTAAGTATTATTGTTCATTAGTAACCTTTCTTAGGTTACAACAATATATATGTTTAATAGATTGTGCAAAAATATTTAACAAAGTACAATTAAAATGAACTGCTGAGTAAGCTTGATTTATTTGGGAAAGATAATAAAATAATCCAGGAATTATACTCTGAGTAAACCACTTGCATATGGATAGAAAGTGTTTAAGACAAGGCTGTGTCTTTTCACTGAACTTTATGAACCTTTACAGTGTAATATTCCTGAGAGAATTAAAAATCCTACCTGGATTCATTAATTTATTGGTAGCTACAATATGCAAGTGACAGTGTTGAAACAGAAAGGCAACAAATTACAGCAACTCCTACAGAAGGTAGTAGAGAAAAAGTGGGAAGAAATGACTAAGCACCAATTGTATAAGAAGACAGAATAAGAGAAAAAAACTCAAAATGCAAATTATGAATTGAAAACATCAAAATTAAACAAGTACAAAAGTTTAAATATCTGGGGAGTGTTTTAACAGATGACAGAAAATGTGACACCAAAATATGAAGTTGCATTGGAATGGCAAAAATTGCCTTCCAAAAGTTAAGCAAAGTATTAAGAAACAAGAAAATTTTATTAGAAACAAGAGTACTGAATGAAGTTGTAAAGTCATGATCACCTGTATCCTGAAAGGAAACTGCACATAGAACAACAATTTATCTGAATGCTGGCATGGTCATAGAAAATTCTGGGAAATATTTTGATGACTGAATGATATGTTTTTGCCAAAATAAAAGAAATTCTAGTAATTTTTGTCTTTGTCTAATAGCAAGATTCATATTATTAATTTTGTTAGGTCTTTAAAAGCTATCTACCCTGAAATAGTTACATTTATATACCTATAAACTGTCGGACTTTTTTCTTTTTTTTTTTAATTTCTAGCAACAATGCTTTTAATATAGGTTCAAAGCACCATTGCTGCCCAAAGCCTGGACTTTAAAGCAATCTTTCATATCATATTGAATTAAGGTGGTAGTGAGTTACTTAATACTTATTGTCTTTTAATGTTGGTAAATATATTAAATAGAAAAATTAATGCTGTTTTCTCTCGTGGCTCATAACTTGTGTATGTCCCATTTTCATTGTTGCTAATTCTTTCCCCTCCTAATGGATTAGATAAGACTACTGAAAATATTAGGCAACACTTAATCTTCTTAGTAAAAAATTAAAAATTGTTTTTTGGTTTTGTTTATACATATGGAGGAAAAATAGTTACCTGAGAATAAATGCACATCTTATATATAAGCATTATTATAAATACATATAAAGATCATTACATGTACAGGTTCAAAAAAAAAAAAAAGCAGTGTATCAAAACCCATCTGACCCTAATATTAACAGTAAGAATTGAGATGGGTTAAGTCAGGCATCATCTCATACATGTTTGAGGGTGGAGGTGGGACAGATCTGACAATTGTCTGGGGAAATTGTCAAATATCTTGCATGACATGTTGAGTAGCAAGAACATTAGGTGGGCAGGCATTATCCTGCTGGAGCAACACATATTTCTGAATGTACATGGTACTATTCAGCAAACCCCAATGTTGATGATGCCAGGGGGTTGACTGTTCCAAGAGATTTTGCTCCTCAGGTCTGTTGTATATGTAAACAACCATCACTTGCATGAAGACAACTTACTCTCAATATTGAACATTAGAGAGCACCATTCAGTTTTTCAGGTGACCCTCTCATGATGCCACTATAAATGGGCATAATGGTATTATGCAAATGTGTGTTGAGACATATGTACCCATTGTCCTGCAGCAAGTAAACAATTACCAATGATTCTTGTGGACACTTTGTGGTCTGTCACTTGTGCCTTTACAGATCTTCAATCTAGTCATGCATCTGTACAATGTGACTGTCTACATGGTGAGGAATATATTTGACCACTGCTGCCACCATCAAAGCACCACCAATTTGTATTACCCAACATGTGCAGCAATTCTAGAAAATGACCATTCAGCATCTCGAAGGCCTACAATCCAGCCCTTCCTTGAGTGGTTCTAATTCAACAAAGAGAGTTTTTTACATATTTCCATGGCCCTAACATTTAAACATTATCACAACATGCATCATTAAAGCTCAGATATAGAGATGTTGCACTGTTTGAAAAGTTACTATATCACAAGATAACTGAAGACCTTCAATGTTTTATCAGAATGCCTGGATAGCATGCACGTACTGTTAAAATCATCATTGTTTCTCAAGGTGTTGCAATTTATGTGCATGTATTCGTTATATATAACACATGCACATGTATGCTGAAAACTTTTGGCTGGGTAAAGAAGAAATTACAAAATAAATTCTGGTTTTTGATCCAACTTAAGGAAGTAAAGCAGAAGACTTTTAAGCATCCTTTTACATATGCAAATCCCTCTCTCCTCTATCTCTCAATCTGTGTCCCAGATCTTTTCAGATATTTCCATTCTTGAAAGAATTACTCCTTTTTCAAGCCAACATGCATAACTATAAAAATGCTAAAAAGAAAAACGCCACTAAGAGCAGACCCCCACCAGTAAACTGAATTTTTGTTTATAAAATTGTTATTGAAAGTGGAAAGACCTTGATTAGTGATTAAATGGCACATTTTTATATTTGTGAGTAGGAAGTAATTTTATTTTTGTTTTAGTTAAGTGTGTTTTTAATAAATTAAAACATTTCTTGATGGAAACATTTTTGTATAGTGATTTTTATATCTAAATTAGCCATATATCAAGAAGTGGGATTAAAAGTTTGGTTAGTATGTCAACTAGTTTAGTTATTTACTTTTGTCTGTAAATACTTGTTACAAAATAAAATCCTTGTATTTTCTTTGATAAAGTGTCTCAAAAGATGAAATGTATTGGCTAAGATAAGTTTTTGTATGTAATTAATAAACACGTGTGTGTGTGTATATATATATATATATATATATAATAAATACATATTTTATACATTGTGAGTATATAAATAAGATAAGTTATTAACACTGGATATATTTGGAATCATTGTAGGTATTAAAAAGTACTTCTTGAATTTGGGGCCCATTGATTATAATATTGACATTATTTATGATAAAAACTAATGTCTTTGCTTTATTATGATAGAAATACCTAATTTATGAATTCTTCATTCAATTTTGGCTGCTATATAAAATAATTAGCAGTGATGACATGAGCAGAAACAAAAAGTTTAGTAACATTTTTAATCAAATAAAGTTGACTCAATATTTGAACTTGCTATTAAAATAATTCCATATGCTAAATAAGCACAATCTGAATTAAGGTGATTAGCAGTTACTTCAAAACTGATTTCTTTTGGAGACATAAAAGGTATCAGAAATTTGTATGTGTTTTTGTGGGCATTTTTGGTTTTTAGCTTATTGACTTCACTTTTTTTTGTTAAATTTATAGTTCTAAAATCCAGATTGGGTGAACAGTTGAATAAAGGCAATAAACAATTTTTCAATTTTCTTAGATGGTACAGATAATGGTTTGGAATGATTGCCATTATGTACCACAGAAGTATTACAGATTTTACTAACATGTAAAAAAAAGTCATACCAGCTGTAACTCCTATAGGTAGCTAGTTGTGATATTTGAGTTAAACTGTTGCAAGTATATGCCTTTTTTCTTCTTTTTATTTTATAGTTCTAGGTATGTTTTTTATTTATTCTTTATTAAATGACAGCCTTTATGATATGTTTTCTTTTCTTTTCAGTGTCTGTCTGTCACTGATTATTTGACAGCTTTTCAGTATAGCAGCAACAGTAGTTTAACTCTGCAGCAGTTTCTTGGCTTGTGCCCTGCTTTGATTCAACAGTTAGATAGCCAGGCTTGTTCTTATGAGCACCATCATAGCCATGAGGCACACTTTCACCAAGTTCTTTCCGCAGCTGCTCATGAACATTTTGACACAGATCATAACTACACTGATCACAATCATACTCATGATCATCATGACCATGACCATCATGATCATGATCACTTCAGCCACAACAAAGAACCTTGTGAAGAAAGAAATGTTGCTAATATACCACTTTCAGGTAAGATTAAACACTCTCTCCTGTAGTGGGTTGGAGCAAAAGTTTGTACTGTTGTTTTTTTGTTTTTTTTGTTTCCTCTCTTCAATGGGTGACATCTGAAAACAATTTCATTTTATACATAACTTAAATGTATGACATGTATATGCAGAAAGGTGACATTTCAACTCCTGTTTCTATACTATTCATATGGATTGTGAATTTTAAATTTTTTTACCTTAAAAGTGAAAACTGGGGAATATGAGATGCATTTTCATCTAATGCTCTTTTTTCAGAAATGAATAATATCATACAAACAGCAAAAAAGGTAAGTGCTGTTTATAGAGAGAGTACCATAGCTGAAAGTACTGTTGGTAATTGTTTTTGCTAGGTTCAAAAGTGGAAATTTTGATCTGGAAAACCAAAGAACATCACAGCACACCTGCAGTCATTGACAATGACCCAATTGAAATAGTAATTAAAAATAATCCAAGTCCTGATACCTGACGTTGCAGAAATAATCCACATTTCTCACATGAACATCCCAAATGTCCCTAGTTTACAGTCCAAACATATATCAAAATAGTGAAATTTCCTTCCATTTCAACTGTGCTGATATCTTTTTTTTTTTTTTTTTTTTTTTTAGACTAATTTTGTTAAAATTAGTATGTGAACTGTTTTTCTTTCTAAAGATATTCTATTTCATGTCTGATGATTAGCTTTTATTCCGCATCCCTTTAAATTATGTCACTATTTCAATGACAAACAGCAATTTTCAGTATTTTTAAAGTTGATAATTTCATAGTGGTGTTTTTCAAAATTAGTTGTCCATCTCCATATATCAAAGTACTCATTATAAAGAAAAAGATGCGCGTCAATTTGGTGTCTTTCTAAGTTAAAATCTTTAGTGGATAAAATACCAGTGAAATTCAACACTTAAAAAAATTGAAATCGACAACTTGTAGAGCAGTGTCTCGTCTTCAGTAATCAGTTGGTTTCATATCTCCATGTCAACACAACTTGAAGTGCATGCAAATTGAAAAAAGGTTATACTACATTTCATTTGAACAGTCAGGTTCTATGTGATTTGAATTTGAATGTACATTGCCAGCTGAGTTCCATTTTAAATCAGATTTGTTTTATTGATGAGTATTACAGTTTGTCTTTTTCTTATATTTAATGATGCATTTTAAAACTTTATAAATAAAGCAATTATTTATTTATTTTAAAAATAAATTCAAGTTGATAGTTTGAACAAAAATAAAACAATTTTATTTTGAACAAACTGTCACTTTAAAATTGCTGTTACCACAGCTATTCTTATTTTCTTGGGGTGGGGAATGAAATAATAAAATTAAAAATATAGTGAGTATATTTTTAGTTCTTTAAATTTTTCTCATTGTCATTTGCCCATAAAAAATTAAAATAAAACTATCGCCACAAACTTACCAAGAAAATCTTAAATGTCTCTTGAATTTTTATATATATATATATATATATATATTATTTTAAGAAAACAATTTTATATATTTAAATAAGATTTTGACATTTTTAAAACATTGCTGCAGTGACGCACTGAATGTCCATTCATGGCAACAAATGAAAATAACTTTAAAAATTCAGTATTTGCTTTTTTGTTTCGCAGTAAATAATTAAGATTAAAGGACAACTGGCTGGATTTTATCAAAGTGATACTTATTTATCTTTTTTCTTAAAATATAGTGTATATATTATTTAAGTTAATTATGCTTTCTTCAAAAAATTAAAATGTATTAACAATATTTAGAGGTTGTGGTAGAAAAGACAGCATGCATTAGTTCACCATCAATCAATCTCAAAAAATGCTCAATTGAAATCAGACTAGAACTTGACTAGAAACAAAACCAGCAACTGGGTGGCACTCATTTCTTTGCATTTCAAGAAAGCATATGGAACATCTGTGACAAAGAAACAAGGAGCAAGATGTACTTCTGAAAATTCATGTACAGGAAAGTATTTGAAGGAAAAATAGTGTCAAACTGATCTGAGAAACAAAGAATTATTAACTGTCATCAAGCATGGTGGTCCTATAACATCTGTTAAAGATGTACAATAAATAGTGGTTTGTAAACACTGAAAGATCAACTTGGGTATCTCAACTGGAAGCTGATCTTTGCAACTATTTGACAACAGAAAAATCAGTTGATTCATCTTTGCCTCTAAAACAAAGGAAAGAAGAAAAGGCACTCAGTGATTCTGAGTATTTAAACAACTCTAGCAGTTGTGATAAAGGACCACCACCTCAGGTGAGCTTCATTTACGAGTACCAAGGTCAATGGGTTGCAGTAAATTATGACTTAACTTTAACATTAGTCATTGATAGTGCATCTCCATTCAGTGTTGTGATAGTCTTTAGTTCCAACAAAGAGCAGAAATGATTATTTCCAATGGTGTTTGTCTGAAGAAGTTTAAAGCACAATAATAAAGTATTTGTTTTCCAAAAGGAAAACAAATCTCTAAGTTTTGTAGCCATTACTGGCCTATTTTTTGATAAGTTGAAAATTACATAATTTTCCTATATATATATATATATATATATATATATATATATATATATATATATATTAAAAGTTTCAAGTTTTCAAGCAATGGATACATTTTATGGCAAGTTCAGCATGATATATTTTTGACCAGTTTTTGCCCTGCTGGCTGTTTTTATGTGGTGTAAATATAGGGTTTCATTGAGATACTATTGGAAAAAAATTAGCTCCATCTCTGTTTTGCTATGAAATATAGATAGAAGTTGCAAGGTAATACTGACATGTTCAGGCAAATTTGCCGTTCTGTGGATTTTTTTTTTTTTTTTTTTTTTTTTTAGGACAAAATTTTCCCAAAGTTTAGGCTACTCTAAGAATTATTGATTCCATTAGCATTATCTTTCTTTCACTTCAAGACAAACTATATAATATTACATTTATAATGATTTTTAACTTGTTTGAAGCCTTTATCTTCAGTTATATACTGTTAAAATTTACTTTTTGTCTAATAGCACGTGAGACAAATTTTTTTATGGACTTTGAATGGATGTTGCTAATTGACCTAAGATAAATTTGGTAGCATTTTTTGTTTATGGTTTGTCAAGATATCTATGACTGTATTAAAGGCTTTTAGATGTATTGAAAATAAAATTCCAGTTTGGGATACCTGTTATGAGGCATTTGAAATACGTGGATATGTGAATCACTAAAATATTTTGATGCTTCATGATTTAATGGGGGGATGTAATAGAATGCATGTTAACCACCCCAAAAGCTGGTTGGTATCCAAAGATGCTGCTTATTACCCTTTTGCAAAATCAGTCATTGAATTCTGGCAAATATTGTTCTCAATTGAGCTGATTGAAGGCAGTAATCAAGGAAAAGTATCCAGAATTAGCCACTCAGAAGGGTGTTGTTTTCCATCAGGACAATACCAGATCTCACATTACTTTGCAGGTCTGGCAGAAATAGGTACTGTTATGTTGGAATGTCCTGCTCCACCAGCTATACTGCCCTGATCTTGTCTTCGCATTACCACAAATTTTACTGATAACCACTATAGAAGAATATGATAAATGAAATTTTATACATTTGACTAATGGTGGGTAATTGAATGACAATGGAAAAACTGATGTGATGTGTGCTGCTCTTCAAAAGGACCTCTTCAAACTCAGATTCTTAGTCTGAAGAAGTCTTTTTGGAGGCTGAAACATATCACAAGATTCAATTACCCCTAATAACTGTCTTTATCAACTTTTATTATAAGGTTCATTGATACAGCTTGTCAGAACATATTCTTACTAACTGCTTTATACACCATGGAAATTACTTTCAGGTTCCATAATTTCAATAATAATCTTGTTATAGACTTATATTTAGTGGTGTGTTTTTTTTTTTATTTTGTTTTTTAAGTCTGAAGAAATTAAGAGCAAAATTACCTTTTTACATTTTTGCTTATTGCATTTTACAAAAGATGTGTATTAAAGTGAATATAGAGAGCAACTATATTGAACATTTTGATTAACAAGTGTTCTTTCCCTTTCAGTATGGCTGTGGAGTTCCCTAGCAGTGATAGGCATCAGTGTTGTTGGTCTACTTGGTGTAATTGTCATACCTTTCATGCAAAAGGTTTTTTACAATCATCTCTTACAATGTTTAGTTGCTGTAGCGATTGGGGCTCTTACTGGAGATGCTCTCCTTCATCTTTTACCTCATGTAAGTATGTGCATCTATTTGAACATTTTAAAATCTCTTTAATTTCAATGAAGTATTACATCTGTTTTAAATGTTACTTCTATATTAATACATATTTTATCTACTAGATTGGCCTTATCAAATACTATGACTATTTCATATGTTGAAATTTTAAATTAATTTCTTCAAAACCAGAAGTCAGTCTATAAAAATAGGAATCTTTTCTAATTTCATGAACAAATGGGACAGCTTATATAATACGTAGGGCCTTTTTTTTTCTTTTTAAGATTTCTAATACATCTTAACTGTTTTGACATAGTGTATATGGTGAAAAAAGATGAACAAGTGTATCTTAATTGACTGAAACAATACTTTTCATTATAAAATTTAACAATCTCCACAAACTAATCTTTATCATAACTTTTATAACAATAGATACTCTAATATGAACCTCATTATATATTGTTTAGGTAAATATAAGTATTTCCTGAAAAGTTTACCCCCTATCAGTTGGTTACTATCAACTTTATTGTAAATAAAATCTGATATTATGTTGAGCCATGAAATAGAAATACTCTTCAGTATCTGTCTATATTTCTGAGATGAGGTATTATGTACATTATTCGGACTATTGTCCTCATCTTTGTCATCATATTTATTACAACGTTTGGCTGTTGTACACTCCAGCCTTCTTCAGGTGGTTGGAATGTTGAACTTAACCCTTTATTTCACTCACTGGGGTAGACTGTTCTAGTTCCACATGCCATGTCTAATGGATGTCAGTTATCAGTTATTTCCTGTTAATTACCCTCTGAAAGTTCTCCACTGCCTTAACTTAACCTGGTATTGAATTCACACTCTTTGGGTCCTGTCACTGGACCTAACCAATGCCTTTATCCACTGTGCCATGTGTCCTTGAGAACTTTCACAGGGGAATTAACAGGAGATAACTAATAACTGACATCTGTAGTGGGCCGTGGCTGTTATGTTGGCGGTTACGGTTTGTTGAGAGAAGTCAGACGTGGACAAAACGCCTGTACGGTTCAGATACTCCTGCCCGCCGGGCCCAACTACATAAAAAAGGTTGGACTTTGATTAAGTCCAAAGAAGAAGGAAAAGAAAGCAAACAAAACAAGACCGATAATATATGTATACACAACAAATATATATTCATAACAAGTTACAATACAGGGAAACAGTACGAAGGACAAAGTGTGTGAATATTCTGTATGTGCGTGCGTGTGTGAATATTCTGTGTGTGCGTGCGTGTGTGAATATTCTGTGTGTGCGTGCGTGTGTGAGTGCATTGTGCTTAGCGTGATTTCACGCTATTTCTTGTTAGCGACTACATTTCGAGGTTGATAGTTGAAATCCTCTAGGAAGCAGAGAAATTTACCTCGGGGCGTTAGTGCCCAGGCCTGAAAGGGAAAAAGAGGTCGAGCCGAAGGGTCATTGGCTATTTATAGCCAGGAAAGAGAGACCTCTGGTGAAAGGGTTACGAACTTGAAGGAGGAGGTAACTCCGACACATCCATTAAACATGGCATGTGGAACTAGAACAGTCTATCCCAGTGAGCGAAATAAAGGGTTAAGTTCAACATTCCAACCACCTGAAGAAGACCGGAGTGAAACGTTGTAATAAATATGGCGACAAAGATGAGGACGATAGTCCGAATAATGTAAATAATGTATATAAATACTCTTCTGTATACTCACCCTACTGTTCAACATGCTCAGCACATGATTTTCTCAGATTTCTTTAATCCTTCTTAAAACAAAACTTTTGATGTGGTTTGGTCATTGGAATACTGCTCATTTGAAAATATCCTCCCTTTCAAACCTCTCTAGAAAACAGCAAATAGATCAAACAAAATCTGGTAGGGTGGATGGTCTGCTATACATTAAAATCTGATTCTTCAAAACATTCATTATGTGAGCCAGTATATTATCCTGCAAAAAAAGATAACTTTTCTGTATTATCCTTTCAATTCCTCCTTTAAATAAGTACACAATTGACAATATTCTATATCTTTGGTGATTCTGAGAATAGCCAGTCACCAAAATACCTTTTGCTATTCTAAATATCATGGCCATGAATTTTCCTGATGACTTTTGGGTCTTTAATTCCTTCATCTGTGAAAGATACAGGAGTTTCTATTACATAGTCCTAATGATATAATCATGTATCATCAAATGGTAAATTTTTCATGAAAAATTGCTTCTGTAGACTCAACTTCTTATTAACATGTTCCTTGAATTTCTAGTACCTCTGCAACTCTTTTGGTCAAAATTAGGTCATATATGGTCAACCATTTTAGTAGTTAATACTTGAAGGCCTCCACGCTGATACTGCTGCATCTTGAAGATTCCTTACTTTCTGTTCCCATATATATATATATATATATATATATATATATATATATATATATATATATATATATGATTCTGTCAAATTAATACAAACATCTTGCTAATTCTTTCTTTACAACAAGAAAGAACATTCTTTTCAGCTATAGTGACAAAATAACTTTAATTTTTGGAAGTTTGTTAGGTTGAGAACTTTTAGACCCCCCACACACATACCTTTATAGTAGTAGTACATATTTTCTTAAACTAATTCCATTTCTAACCAAACTTTTTTCTCTCTTATAGGCTCTATCAAAGGACCATACACACCAAGTATGTCACAATGAGTTAACTAACCATAAACATGACAAAACTTCAATTTTAAAGGGACTTGTTGGTCTTCTTGGTATTATCATTTTTTTTATCATAGAAAGAGTTATGACTATTTTCACATTGATGCGTACAGACAAAAGAAAGGTAACCTTTATTTTGAAAATTCAGATGGCTTAATGTTAACAATTACATTTATTGTCCTGTAATAAATATCTTGAATACTTTGATTATTGTTTAAGAAATTCCACTGTTCATAAATGTTAATATATTTGTTTGTTAATCTTCCAGTTTTCTCCTTAAATTTAATTGTTGCTTTAAATATTTTGCTGAAAATCACCCTACCTATTAACTAGAGTTAATAAGTTTTCTTCTTATAGTTGGTCTCCTTTTTATTTAATTCAATTCACTGCTACATTTACAATTGATTAGATTCTTTCACTTCTAGTCATTTATTCAAGTAATGACATTGATTTAATTTTAATTCTCAAGTATTAATCAAACCTAAATAACTTTCACAAATTAATTTTTTTTTTTTAAGAATTATGCTAAAAGTATTAATGATTGCTGAATTACAGGAAATCTATTAAATTTTTGTAGAAGCGAAAGAGAAGCTGTTCTCAAGTGGCTACAATCTCAGAAGGGGAGACTGACATTGGAGGTAAATTGAGCACTCATCGAAGTCGTAACTCTCACTACCAATCTTGTGAGGATGTTGTCATGATGGTTCACCCAAACAGAGGTTTGTTTTGATTTGTTTGTACATTCTGAATTAGTTTCTGAATTTCTTAAGTTTCCTTCATAGCATTATTAATCAAATCTACCCCCACCACTTTTTTTTTTTTTTTTTTTTTTTGTAAAAATGCACTTTGATCGCTATTACTATTACTCTTTATCAATTTATCATTTTCTGTTTTACCAATTTAACTTTATATTAATATTTTTCTTTTCCTTATGGGAGGAGGGTACTTTATTCAAATACAGTATTAAGAGTCTTTTTCATTTTTTCTTTTTTTTACCCCCCCTAATCAAAAAAGAAACTAAGTATGGTGTATCATATACAATATGGTTATGGGTAGGGAAGAAATCCAGTGATTGAAGTTGTTGCATTTTAAATCAGAAAGTGTGATCTAGAACTTTGTGCTTGTAAACTTTTTGCTTTATATCTTTATTATTGCCAAAGTGAATCACGGGATTCAACATGACTTCTTTCGGTATTTGCTCTCATTAAATGCTTGTTAATAAAATTCATTTTTAAAATGTCAAATATAAATTTATCAAAATTATTCTCATCTTTACCTTCAGCTTTAAAAGATTTGGCTGAAGACAGCCATGCTGACTTGATAGAGTGTAGCCACCAGCAGGTTCACCAGTCAGACGAGGAACACACAACAATGATGTCACCATCACATAACCACACAAACCATGATCACTCCCATTTCTATCAATCACATGGCCACTCACATTTTCCATGTTTAGACTCTGATGGACACAACATTCCAGCCATGGCATGGATAGTTGTCATCGGTGATGGTATCCATAATTTGTGTGACGGTTTGGCGATTGGAGCTGCTTTTGGTTACAGTAATACAATTGGATGCAGTACTGCTATAGCAGTTCTGTGTCATGAACTGCCTCATGAAATAGGTAAATATTTTCCAAGTGTTTCAATACTTTAAAATGCTAGTGTTTAATTTGAAAAAATAAAATAACCATTACACTAGAATTTCTGGATAAAAAGGTCTACCAACTTAACAGTGAAATTTTAATGATAAAAAGCATTTTAACCTGAAAGTGGTCCTATGTTTATATAAAATATTTAGCAAAAACCATTGAGATTTTGTAAAAGATGTTGGCTTGCTCTTGTTTATATTGTTTACTTCGGACATGAATTCTATTTCAACTCAAATACTTGATAAGTACTGGTACAGTGTTTGCTCAAGATAATGCTCCTTGTAACTAGAATTTATATATTTTTATTAATGACAAAAGCCATAGATGAAACAGACAAACTAGAATTACTGAAGGATTTTGTATCAACAAATGTATGAGAGAATCAACATATAGGTTAGTTATAAATCAAACAGTTCTCTTCTCTAAACCAATATATTTAAATAGCCAATTCAGTTTTATTGATATGCTATGCAAACAAATTCAACTTCCATTGATTGCAGCTGGGTTTGTCTTTCAGGTGATTTTGCTGTATTACTACGTGCTGGAATGAGTTTACGTAAAGCTATCATTTATAATATTGTGTCATCTGTATTATGTCTGGTTGGCATGATTATTGGAGTGTTACTCGGGAACATTAGCTCAGTTACTGAATGGATTTTTGCTGCTGTCGGAGGAATGTTTCTCTACATTGCTTTGGTTGATATGGTAAGCTGCTTTCATTTAATGAAGAATGTTTTTTTTTTTTTTTTTTTTTTTTTTTTTTCAGTTTATAGATTTGCTGTTTATATACATTGACATGCCAAAAGTAATGGGAGAGGTTCCTAGTATTTAGAATCTCCTTCTTGCCTGCTGAAGTGTGATATGTGCCAGTTGTCTGGCATTCACTGTCATCTCCCATTCAAAATGGTAATTCACATTATCTTACCATGGGCAGTCTGGCCAGTGTTAGGCCAGACTGCCTCAGCCACTGATACGGGTACTTTTATGATTTCGTCATTACCCTTACATTTTGCTCTCCCCATAACTTTTCACATGTTAGCTTATGCTTTTCTCATCTTCTTCATAACAAATAATCTTGTAAATTAATGATAAATTATTCCTACAATAAAGGAAAATTTATGCAAATTCAAACTCTTCTGACATAAAACCAGAGTTCAAATGTTAGTAACATTATTTCCTTTAAAATCCAATGATATTTACAGGCAGGTTGGCATTGCAACAAAGAAACAAAAATCATCTCCAAAGACCAAGATAAAAAATGTCTTCCAACAAAAGTATTTTGACAAAATTTGTTTGAATTGAGCTGTTCTTGTATCCAATTCAGGCTTGTCAAATTTATTGTGGAAATAAATTGCTTTTAATAAATTACAAAATATTTGGTATAGCAAGTATCTTGTAATTTATTAAAAACAGCTTAACAGTAAACTTTGCAAATAAGTTGTTTCCAATTTAGCAGAAAATAGAACACTACATATTGACATAAAAACCCGATACATGGAAAAAGAACAGGCACAACAGACACTGGCCTGAGAAGATGCAACACTCAAAAAAGCCACCAAAGAAGTATAATACATTCCTATAGAAACCATCCACAAAAACTCACAAGACAAAATTGGTAATGGCTTATGAAAAGTGAAGACTTTCAGAAACTATAAGACAATTTATGTTCAATTTCTGCTTGGAAACCAGAAAATAGTCTTAATTAAAGGAAGGTCTTTCATTTTTCTTAAGCAGATGTGCCTAAATAAGAAACTTGTCTGCATTTACATGAACCAGAACATGGCCACCTGCCTAATAAAGCATTGATATTGCAAAATGACTTTTATCCAATTGAAGTATGAATGTTTCAAGACCTAAAAGTCTTCCTCTGCAAATTGTTGTGGAAGTCCTTTTAACTGCTGCAAGTTATGTGGGTAGAGGTTCCAATAAAAAAAAAAAAAAACACCTAGGTTGAACATCTCCCTTAAGTACTCAATGAAATTGGGATCTGAAGTTGAAAAATGAAGAGAAATCCAATGAAAGTCTTCATGTTCTTAAATTCCTCTACAACTTATGTAGCACAAGGTCATTATCTGATTGAAGATGCTACTAACATGGCAGGAGAGGTGTACATATGATGAAATAGGTGTGGTATACATCAGGCAATCTTTCACAGTAGAACATTATCTACTCCATCACACTGCTTCCACTGGCTTGTTTTCTCATGGTGCATCATAATGCCATCACACAATATTCAGAAGAAAATTTGATTATCCCAACCAGGCGACTTTCTTTTGTTCCATTCAACATGTTGATAATGGAACCTGTACAGGTGATGATTTACTGCAATACAGTTAAATGGCTTTGTTTGAGTAAATTGAAACACATATTCAGAGTGGTGCAATTTTATTTCCCATCGGTGTATATTACCTAAACAATTGTTTCCAAATTGTGTGATGGAAAAGACAGTTAAAAGTTCATTCTCCAGCATGATGCACACATGGCAAAAGCAATAAATTCATAGTTTGTGCAACAGCATTTGCCCCATGATTTTTGGCTGAGTCAGTTGTGCATTGCAACCAAATTGGTTGAGAGAAAATCAGAAACCATTGATCAGCTGTGGGGAAACAGTACAAGATAAATGGAACAAAATTGATGCAGCACAATAAGACAGTTTGCATAAAGTTTCCTTTTCGTGAAGAAAAAACAAAGGTAAAAAACAATCTCATATGAAAATCTTCTCTACACACAAACATCACATATATAAACTATATGTGCCAGAATAACAGTAACTGCCCCCAAATTTCTTGGTCATGACCAAATAAGTATATATATATATATATATATATATATATATATATATTCTAATGTTTCGTCATTGAGGTACTGTTTGAGTTTATTTGATCAGCACCTCTCTTTCTCTCATATATTTTTCTTTTTCTTTTCCAGTTACCAGAAATTTCATCTGTTGAAACACGAGAAGGGGAGCATCCATTTTTTCATCTTTTCATTCAGTGCTTGGGCCTGTTGATTGGTGCTGGCATTATGTGGCTGATTGCTTACTATGAACATGACTTAATCAATGCTTTATAAACTGCTGAACTTCTGGGCATTTCATAGCCCTGGGTGTCTTCCACAAGTAGTAACAGCAGCAGTATATCAAGCTAATTTTTACGGTTCTCTAGCTGTCAACTGAGGAGAACTTGGGTGCTAAACTCACATCGACACTTGGTCTTAAAGTGAAAAACAGTTGTTTTTTTTTTTTTTTCTTTTTTTAAGGGGAAAAAAAGGTAAAATATATTTACACATCATTTAAAATGTGGACTGCTGGCTTCAACCCAATTCATATCAAAGTAGTTCCTGACATTGATAGCATTCTGATCAGTGGACTTGGTCTCAATTTTCTCCTTGGGCTGTGTGTGTGTGTGTGTGTATTCCCCATTTGAATTTCTTGTACCAAGATTGTATGTGTATTTATTATTATTATGATTATTATTATAATAATAATAATGAGGATTCTGCAAATGATAAAAAATAATTTCTCTTTTCCCTCCTCCTCTTACTGGATGAGTGTGTGACTGAACTTGTAAATCTTTAAGGAATTTTCTTCAGTGTTACTTTTAACTGAGAGGTTGTGGGGGGGGGTAAATTTAACATATCAATAAAAACCTGATGGAGTGGTGGAATCAGCGGCTACATGATCCTTTACTCTTGTAGTTTGCTGCTTTTCTCTTAAAATAGGGTTTGAATAATTTTTGTGTCAATTGTGTTTCATTTTAATACAGGAAATAATACATCACCTTTTTTACTAGATAAAAATCATGTTACAATTAACATGAAGTCACAAAATAAAAAATAAAAAAATTTTACAGTTGGCTAGTGGCTCACTACTCTAAGGCTAAGAAGGTGACCATCAAACTCTCATATAAAACTTTTTCTTTCATCAAAAGCTCCAATAAAAATATGGAAAAAGTAGCTTTGATACAAAACTTTTTAGAAAAATTCTAGGTTTTCATTTATAGCTTGTAGACATGGAAGATTTTTAAATAAAAAAGATGTGCATTTCTAAATAATATGCAATTGTTTCTAGTGATGGATTAAGCATATCAAGTAGTTTTTTTCTTGTTTCGTTTACAATTCTGACACCTTGTATATAATTTCTACCTTGTAGTTTCTGTTCTGTTCGGCTATAATTTCAACAAGTATTTTGTAACATTTTTTCAATCTTCCAAAATGGCTTTTAGAGATAACCTGCTACTTACTGAACACTCTCAGTGCCTATTGCAAATTTGCAACTATCTATGCCAGCTTATTGAATCCATCAATAAATTGACTGCAACGTCATTTATTGCTTTCAGCTGAGTAATCAATATTAGTCAAAATGAAACATTATTTCTTGTTAAGGTAAAAACATTTATTTTTCTACTTAAGTCACATCTCACATGGCAAGTGATTTGTTTAATCTTGTTAATATACCAAAGTTAGCTTTATTTTTGTGTTTCCAGAATATTTATAATTCTATGGATGTAAGTATTTAGATGTTGAAACTTGTCTTGAAATTGAAGCAGGTGTTTTTTTGTTTTTTTTTTTCTTCTCCAATATTAAAACTGCACTAGTATATTAAATGGTTATCATTTATACAATTTTCATATAGAAATCTTATGCCACTAAGTTATAAAGCAATAAAAGAATTAAGCTGTATTTCTGTGAGGCTTCACAAAGCAATTTACCATGCTGGAAGTTAAATTTAAGTTGGCTTTGGGATATCTTGAATATCTTTTGTTTTCTTAATTTGAAATAAAATCAGAAGCTGTGATAAACAAGTTTAAGCTTGTTTGACATATGTAAACCAATTATATTTGCTAATTTTCTCCTAGTTTAATTGTATAGGAGTTTGTAATCTTTTTTCTTTAGAGAAATATATTGTTGATGTGAATTTTGTTAAAGTGGTAAAGAAAATTGTAATAGTTACAAGGTATAATGTTTAGATCCTTGTACTAAAGTGATTTTTCAATACCTAAATTAATTTGGATTAAATCAATAACTTTACCCCGAGCTACTTAAAACATTGGGGGAACGTATAGTAGCCCTTTTTACTATTTCTGAAGTGATGTCCTTTAGTTATTTCGTAGTTTTCATAAAGGAGCAATAAATATATGTACATATATGTGTGTGTGTATATATATGTATGTTGCAGAATATAGAATAATTTGTTGGTGTAGCTTAATAACTGTACATCCCTTCTGTTTTGGTAAAAAATTAATGGCAACTAAAGATCAAAGCTAGTAGAGCCTATTTAATATAAAGATATAAAAATTTGTTTCATGTGCATCCAAAGTTGTTCTTTGCAAATGTTTTCAAACAAGTGTCAACTATTGAATGTACATCTGGAATCTTTTTTTTTTTTTTTTTTTTTAAATCACTCCTCCATAGTTTAAAGTATTTCCTGCATAAATAGCACAATTCTCCTAACAAAACTTTATACCTGGTGTTCATTGTTGTGTAAATTTATTTAATGTTCTTTCATTTACTTCTCTTTAGACTTTGCAATTATAAAGAATCAGAGTTAAGTGACTTGTTGGTTTTAATCTTTTTCTAATGTTCTGTTTCTTGTCAATGACTGTAATCTTTTTTTTTTTTTTTTAAGGTGCCTGCATTTTGACAGGATGCAATTACTATTAAATATGCATAATTTAAACTAAAACTAATTTCTCTTAGAAGTCACACTTGAGCATGCTTAATTGGTTTAGCCACAAATCATTGACAGTTCTGGAAATCACTATTTCTATATAAAAACTAACACAACATTTTTTTTCAACAATTTTAGCTGTTTTTCCTGTATTGTATTCTGAATTCATATATCAGGTAGGGATTTTCTAACTACATTTGTGAAATTGATGTAGATTATGGTGCCGAAAACTGATTGGTCTAATGTTCTATGCTATATCAATTATGCTTTATACTAAATACTCTTGATGAGATATGAAGAGTATGTCTTTAAACTCATACCAAAAACTGTCCCTTAATTATGTAATTAATCTGCATAATGTATGCTTCCTCTAAGTTCTGATTTAAGTTTTTTTTTTTTTTTTTTTTAAAAAAAACTTCCAAAAAGTTGCATCTGGTCATGTAAATATTTATTTTACAGTCTGTGAATCCAAACAAATGTTTTTTGCTGTTGCTTTGGTTTCCTTAATTTTTTTTTTTTTTTTTTTTTTTTCCTTAAGCTTCAATAGTGATGATAAAAAATTATCATGGTCCAGCCCTTGGTCAGTATGCTTGCTTTGTCAGATTCAAAAACGAAGGTGTAAAGATTGACATATTCCTTGATCAGGTGAAAAGAAACAAAAAAAAACAAAAAACTGATAGTCTCACTTGTCAAGTCATGTTGAAATGAAAAGATGTTTGCACAAGCAGTTCTGATAAAATTATGGATTTTGCAGTTAGAGAATGAGATTGGGAGGGGTTTGAAATCCAATCTGAAGTCTCAGATTGATGATGCTGCTTATCGCTAAAGAAAACCAAATGATCTTTTATTGAACAGCAAAGTCCACAGATAAGGCATGAATGAGGTCTTAAAAAATACTACTTAAACTACATGCCATTTTCTTTATCAGAATGGTCATATTTAAGAGAAAAGAAAAATATTCTCCAGAATTTTTCCCTCCCCACTCCCTTACATGCTTATAGATATGCAGAGTGACTGCTGTAAAGTTCTCTAACAACCCATTTCTTTCCCAAAATCTGTATTTTAATGACCAAACATCAGAATATTCATTTTTGATTAGTGGATATGTCTGAGAAATTTTCAGTATGCCCTCATGAGTTATTTTCTAAAATAAGAGAAAGAAAAAGAAAAAAAATTCTTACTCTTTTGCAAATTCAAAAATTCACCAAAATTTTTTTTTTTTTTTTTTTAATTAGTAATCCATTCATTTAGTATCTTGCATCACACTACCTTAATGCTTTCAATGTGATATAGACACAAGACATAATTCCAAGTGAAGGACAGGTCAGAACTATAAATTTGTTAGTTTCTAATTTTAATTTAGAATAGGTGACCTTGCAGAAAGTAAATGACATATGATACTACTTCAAATTACCTGTCAATTATATTGTACTTCTTTTTCTTTAAATCAGTTCCACTACAGGACAATGAATATAATCATTTAGATTCTTTTTCAGTTTTTCTTTCCTTTCATTTATTGTGCTGATGTATGGGGGAAGGCATTTACTTTTTTCCAGTTATGTCATCTCATTTGATTTCAGCTTAGGAAAAGCTGAAATCAAATGAGATGCAGTTTTGCTTAAGCTACTTTCCAAAAATACTAGTTAGTCCCTCTCTCTCGTATATTTACTTGTTACTTGTAAGTCTATATATGAGGGCAAATATTTTAGCATGTATGGGTAGAGTATTCTGTTATCATTGAATGCCCAGTGGGTGAGGTCTCAAATCAAACTTCTATACTCACTTTGTACTCTTGATGTCAACTTTGCTGCTTTCTACATTTATGGTGATATTAGATGTCATTGCTATATATATATATATATATATATATATATATATATATATATATATATATATATATATATATTTTTTTTTTTTTTTTTTTAACATTCCTATTAATAACAATGTGGGTAATGAAATGGCCAGAAAAAAAAAAAAAACTTGAACCACATGTTTACATCCATGACATTAAATAGTTTCTATTTGTGATTTTAATGCATTCCTGTATGGACACTTGGGGAAAGATTTCTCTAAGCTTCCATTGGTATAATGTAAATATTTCTATTGTAGAAATGGGATTGGGACTTGTAAGGTTTTCTGAAAAGTACTTGGTTTATTTTACTTTAATTTTTCCCTACTCCCATAAAATTTATAATTAATAGATAAATTATTAGTAAGTTTTAATACTTACTTAAAAAGCCACCTTTCAGACAAAGCGTATTATAACTTTTTTTTCTCCCCACTCATTTATTCAATCATTTTCTGCTTCCGCCATTTAAAAATAAAATCTCATACAAGGTTCTTCCTTCTCTCCTCTTTCCACTTTGTAATTTTTTTTTTTTTTTTTTTTTTTTTGTATTGTTTGTCTATTTGTTTGTCAATTTTACATATCTGCTCAGATTTTTTTGTCTGTCATTTAGCACACTGCTGGCTTTGAAGAAAATCTTTTCCCTCCGTTTCTCTCTCAAAAAAAATTCTTTGTCTCCACTATTCATCCCCACTCCTGATTTATGAAAAGACTTAAATCTTTTAACCTTTTCAATTTGACATACATGCTGACTTATAAATGGAAAATTAAAATATTTGACAAGTAAAATGTTTTTCGTTTGTGTTGTTTTTTTTGGTGGGGGGGGCGGTTGTGCTTTCAATTGTTATAAGCAACAGAAATTCTGGGTCTGTTATTTCAAGTCTTGGGTCAGTAGAGAGAAATCAAAATTAAGATTTCATAAAATGTTTCATCTTTGAGATGACATGGCAGGATGTAAATTCTGCCAGAGTACCAATGACCTAAATAGTTGAAGTATTATCAAAAATTTAGTATTGACTTCAGCATAAATAATAAAAATTATGAAACATTTCTATGTTGTTCTGACATTTTAACATTGACTTCATTGCATTTTCAACTATTTCAACTTTGTGCAAAATTCAAAGTGTTGTCAACACTAAAAATACATTAAATTTTTATCCTGTTATTACAGTTTAATCTTTTTAATTTAAAAATCCCAGATAGTGAAGACGGCCATCCAGAATAAAAGTTTTCAGATTAAGAAATAAATTCAAATTTCTCCTGAAATGGCCTAGAGATTATATAAACTGAGATCTTTACTTTTGACCTTTAGTGTAGCTGATTTAAATTTCCTGAAATGGGGGAATTTGAAGATGTATCACAATACGTTAATGAGAAATTGTCAAGAAGTTTAGAATATCAATGCAAGTTGTTTAGAAGCAGGAGTGCACTTTTAGATAGGATGACATTGATCTCATTGAATGTCAAAGGTCAACCAAAAAAAGCAAGTTAGATTATGGAATGTTGAACTATAAACAATACATTACTTTTGCTAAGTTCCCAGATCTAGCAGAAAATGAAATATTCCAACATGGTATTTTATCAGACATTGCAGTATCATAAAATTACCCTGATCTTAACTGTCACTGTGAAAAGAAGTGAAAGTAAGACTATATCCTTTGGGGTTTACTATCAAAAAGAATAATGTTCCTAGTGAAACAATTTTGAATTTGTATTCCTTCATCACATTGAGCTTTTATGGGAGTTTTAACGACTCTGAAAAGTGAATGTTTGCAGCAATTTTGACTTATTTCTCAATACTTTTCATCATAAAAGTTAGCCATTAAACAGAGATTATATCCTTAAATTAAATTTTATTAAAATGAGCAGAATAGTAAAAACAAAACAAGCATATTGATACAAATATTTAACAAACAACTCATAACCAATGATTTTATTATAATGAACTCTTATTTAAATTTTTTTTTTTATTAACTCTTTCAGATGAAACGATTTTCAAAATTTAAACTGACATAAAAAATGAAATTTTACATTTATTTCTTCTGAAAACTAATTAAATCAATATTCTGTTTTTTTTTGTTTTTTTTTCATATTGGGAATTAGCAATTCATAAACTACAATAAGGCATTTAAACTATATTTTTATACTCAAAAACTTTTCAGAGATTTTTTATATAATTGTATCAAAATGAGTTCTAGATTTAAATACATAAAATGTTCTGTTAAATCAAGTATTAAACTGATCTATACATATTTACACAAGAGTGACAGCATCTCAGTTAATATTGAACTTAGAATACTTTTAAAAACTTTTCCTAGCAAAACTAGTTAAAAACATACACATTTTGATAAATATTTTGTTTAGACAGGAATTACAGAAGGAATGTTTCTTTTACTCATTTCCATACAAATGAATGCATATCCTAATCCCATGAATATTTAAATATTGTCCAAAACATTTTATGTATACTATACAACTTTATTTGTAAAAGAAATCCCAAATTAAATAAAATCTTCAGTTTCAGTATGGATATATTTAAACAACTGACAGATTCCTTCATTGTAACAAACATTATCCTGTTAATTTTAAAAATGATAATGTCCAGAAGATCAAACATGCTAGATCATAAATGTTTAAATAATATATACCCTCACTGAATCAAGAAATGTGATCTTTTATGCAAACAAAAGTTAATTAAAAAAAACATTCCTGATCTGTAGTCCCTTTTTTTTCTGTATATCTAAGCAAAATTGAAAAACATTCTCGTAAATGTAAGAATCGCAAGTAAGAAGTGTGGATGGTTTTATTGACATTTAAAAAAATTAAATTCGTCATGATTGTTTACATTAATCAAATATTAATTATTTACAGGCAGATTTTTAAGAGTTACTTTGATTCTATGTTTGTAGTATTTATCTGTGCCCATGAAGCAACAGAATGTGACACATGGTTGGAGTTGAATGTGGGATTTCTGGAAAATTACTCAAGCTCTCTCTGCACTTCCTTTCTTGGGGAGGCCTTTAGTGCTGGGTAATGACCCCATCCCACTACTGAAGGAAAGGTACTGTCAGGGAGGAATGGCTCCCTAGGGCTTGAGCTAATATGCTATGATGTATGCATATCAATATACCAGGGTTAGCCAAACCGCAGCTTGTAAGTCATATGTGGCTCATGAAAATATGTTAGCTGAGCTCCTTTTTTCATCACAGTTAATATAAAAGGTAAATAAGAAAAATTTCAAGTTTTATAATTATTTACTGGGTATGAATTGAAACCCTATTGGATTAAAACATAAGTTTAATGTTTGTAACAAAAACGTGTCAATTTTGTTCATGTCTTGCGGTTCTCAAACATCTGAACTTTATCATGTGTGGCTCTTACATTAAGAAATCTTGTCACCTTCTACCATGGATGATGTACTTTGCTACTGTTACCAGAAAGTTTTTACCTCCCTTTCTTTCCATGTAACCTGAAGATGAAATTTGTGAATGAAACCAAAAGTGTAGCATCAGTTTATTTTGATAAAGTCAATAAATATGTAGCTTTTGTAAAACTAAGAAACAGTCTGGATCATCACTTTTGCTTGGGCAAAGCACAAAAGTTTTTAATTTGTCAATATTTTGAGAAAATTTCATAAATAAAATCCTGAAATAATCACATTTTTATAAATACCATAGATACCTTAATAATCCAATTAAATTTAAAAACAAATAATTACTTTGTTTTTTCATATAATCTGTGTGGGCATGAGTTTCCAACAGCAGAAACAAAAAATTTTTTAACTTTGCATTGAGTTTCTAGTTTTCAAGAAATAATTGCTGGGAACTTTTGCACACACACCTAAATAAATAGTGTTTCATCATTTTTTAATCATTTTTTTATTTATTAGTTCTGTGGTAATTTTTTTTTTCTTTTTACACTATATAATTTTATCAATTCTTATGATAAAAAGCTATAACTCAGATGTAATACAAATATTAAAAAGACTGAAATAAAATTAAAGTCTATACAATCTTCAGAAATTTTGATTCCTGATTGAGAAATACATTTTAGCAATTATAGAATGTTTAATGTGTTTTCAATTTCTTTCCTTTTAATATGGCAAAACATTTTTGGTGAGGTATTCGTGCAAAATGGTAAAAAATTACCAGAACAATTAATAAAACTGGGAATATATGAGAAAATTCAGCAGAGGGAGAGTTCCTATTTTGAGCTCTTTTAAAATATCAGCATAACCTCCCCCTACATATACAAACGTGTGTGTGTATATATATATATATATATATTTGTGCTGATAGAAGAAGTAAATATTTCAAAATTATATATTATACTGATTTTGTATTTCTCTTTAAAGAAATTTTAAAAACCTTTTGTTTCAAGATGAACATGGCCACAGATAAGATAAAATGAAAATGAGGTAGTTTAGCAAAGTTATCTGCAGATAAATATTTATGCATATTAATAACAAAACAAAAATAATATGAAAATGATTTTAAAAGCCATCTGGTATACATAGAAATATATTCTTTTAAAAGCTCCTCTCAAAAATATAAAAAATTGAATGGTTATTGAACTCCATATAGAACAAGTGCAGAAGTTAACATTAATTGAGGTAAATAATTTCTAGAGCAATTTTATTTGCTAAAAGATAGCATAAAAATTTTTTTTTTTTTTTTTTTTAGAACAGTTTAAGATATATGGACAAGCCACAGAAATTCTAAATAAAAAACTAAGTATTATTATCACTTTATGAAATGTTTTGCCTAATACAAGCAAACTTAGCTTGCTTTATAGATTTGTAATTTGCTAGCATCTTTCAAATATTCCCAGCCAATTTGCAATTTTTACCTTTCAGTTGATTTTTGCTAAGCTCATTTAAAAATCTAAGACTAATGTGTTCATTATATATATATAATCTGCTCATCTCAAATATCAAATAAACTTCTAAACAAATAATTTGACATATTTTTTTTTTTTAAATTTTGGTAGCTTTAAAAATGTCTTCAAGCACTTGGAGAATTATTTTGCGAAAATAAAAATGACCAGAAAACGCTGGAAAATTTATGTTTTCAAAACATCAAGAGATTTTCTTGAATTTTTAAAATAAGAAGTTTGTCACATGACCAGAATCATGAGTGGTTCTAATAAAAAAATTCAACCAACTTCATATCTTACAATCAAATTCATATATTTCATATCATCATGTGTGTAAGTTTTAGTGGCTACAAAAATACTGCAGCTGGAAAATATACAAAGAAATTCTATATAAATCATAAAATTTCTGATTAAAATTGGTTGTATTGTAACCCCCCCCCCCCAGAAAAAACAATCTATACAAATATGTACCATTATTATTTCTGAAATTCACCAGTTACTACACCAAACCATGACTTTTGTAGGTTTGTGTGTATATTTCTCAATGGTATCAATAAAATGACCAATGCCTATTGACATTGCTACTTAATCATTTAAATATTTCATTTTTCCTGAATACAGAACAGGTTATAAAAACACTTTGACAATATGAAAGATGATTGAGAGATGTAATAGTTTGCTACAGATTGAAAATTTCCATCCATTAGTAACAGGATTTAATTCTGAAAAAAAAAAGATAAAAATTAGTAAGAAACAAAAAAACAGGAAAATATGTTAAAAATAAAAAGTTCACCTTTTAAAAATACATATCACTTTTTTTTTTTTACTGAGATATTTTACAATTGAGAAATATTCAAATTGGACAAAATACATGCATAAGTTTTCAACATTATGAAAACCATTCATCAATATTAAAAGAATAACAAACTCATAGAAAACAAATTTATCATTAATGGTTTTGAAATCTTTTTCAGTTTCTTATTAAATAATTACTACATTAAATGTGAATTAAACAAAAATAAAAAAAAACAAAGCAAGAAACTTCCTAACTTGGGTCACAATGAAGAAATCATTTCATCTCCAGATTATGATCCTACTACTATTAAACCTTTGCAGAGAACAGACTGCTAGTTTTACAAATCCTTTCAGATGTGCATATCATCCTCAATAAGTAATTCATGACTATGATGTTGTGTCTGAATAAGTTTAAGAAGTATACTACATTATCAAGTATTTTCAGTTTGAATTTTGAAAATAGGGAATTATTATTATTATTATTATGATACACTGATCTATTTGAACTAATGTTTTCATTCTGGTTGTTATAGTCAAACCGTTTCAGCATTTAAACCTATATAGCCTTCTTCAAATGCTTGTCATATTTGATAACCCTCTAGGAATTTTGAGCTGATCTCTTTATTCCATCCAGAGATTAAGATTGTTTTTCACCTCATCATCTGTACAGTAGGAATTTCATATGAAGTAACTAGATTACACTTATCAATGATTTTGTAGACGAGGCTAAATAAGAAAATCTGGTTACCTTATGGTTATGATTTCAATCCCCGGATGAAGCAGTGAAAGTCATAGACTTCTGTTGAAAAAAAGTCTATCTGTGCACACAAGGATGAAAATTAACTAAGAATTATATAATACGAATTATCTCCCTTGGCATCGACAGCAGATGAGAACAATTTGTGTGTATGGATTTTATAATAAAAGGCTTGGTTCAAGATTTCCGGATTATCAGATATGACAGACGGTTGAAAAAATCTGCTGTGTAAAAATTGAATATAGATGTAACAGTGACATACCATGACATGATTTTTCATCAGATCCATCTGCACAATCTTGAATGTTGTCACAATTGTGGGACATATCAAGGCAAACATTATCATCACATAAAAACTTGCCTTCGCAGGAATTCTGTTTGTTAACTTTGTCATGATCTGAAAAACCAATAAACAAACATGACAAATAAAAAAATTTAGCAATATCAAAATTCTTTTATAAATGATGAATTGGCAGCTACAATAAAAAATCTTTCTTTGAAATTGAATTTGATACAGACATTCCCTTAAAAAACAAAAAAGACAGGTGGGCTGGATTAAACAAATATATAATTTTGTATATATGTAATAGAAAAACAAAATAGAAAACATATGTATCAACATATAGATGATGCTTAATATATTTGCACAACACAATATTACCTGCTCTTGTAAATAAACTAAGCATAGATTGTATGACAGAATTTATGAAGCAGAAACAAATGCGAATTAACTTTCCTTGATATATTAAGCTGTATTTATTAACTATAATTAAATTTTAAACTGAATCTAATAATAAAAATGGTTTCATAAATTTCCATTCTCACCTTAACAACAAAATAAAATTTAGAATAATTACTAGATTCTATTTAGAAGCATTTAGAATTTGTAGCTTTTGATATTTATATGATGTGAAATCCATTAAAAATATTTTTCTGCTCCTCCAATAGCTTAATTATTTTATATTTAATGTGAAACAGAAAACTTTTCATGTTTATAAAAACAAAAGAATGAACGATATAAATAAACTTAATTAAACGCAAAATTCTACCTACCAATACTATCACAACTAAAACAGAAAAGAATTTATCTAAACTTAATATAAAATTTATTATAACATCCAAACAAAAGCATCAGAAAACTGAATGAAATTGGCTGAGCTGTTGTATCTAGACACATTAGATGCAAGAAAATTTAAAATTTAGTGTCTCTAAATCTTCAGTATTTCCTCTCAGTGCAAAATTATAAACAATGTTTTAATTCCATTAATAAGAATATTATTTTAGCCTGATGTATTCCTTTTAAAGGACAAAATGTGCTTCATAGTATTTTAGCTGACATTGTTCTGATATATTCTCATATATATAAATATAAAAATTCAGATTTATGACAAGAATTCAGCAAAAATATTTATGTCTTTGTGATAAATTTTCAATTTTCTATAAATTTGCACATCATATCTTGTGGCTACACAATTTCAGCTTCAAGTTGTTTCAGAATAAAACTACACTATATGCCGTATTAGAAGAAAAAATTTGACAGTTTTAGAAGACAATGTATTTTTCTTTAAATAATCAACATTTCAAAATAATGTTACAAAATTATCTTTCTAGAATTAAGAAAATATTTCAACAGTGGTTGCATGATTCCTGAGGTACTTGAGCATTTTCCAGTCTCCTGGTCATCATGGAGTTTGTTAGGCAGTGTCTTGACATCTTGGTGTATGATTTTATGCCCAAGTTATCATTCTGATGATTTGGGGGTCCACTTTTCACTACAGTGCTATCTTTTGCATAGATATTGTTGGATCCTTTGCAATGTTGATCTTAAGGACAAACATGATGCCTTCATTTTACTTCTTATTGATCCTGTTTCTACTTGCTTTTTTTTCTTCTATGGATGTCATTGCCCATGTCTAATGTCTTTTCATATTGTAGACAATGCATAATAATTCACACCAACTATGTTGCAGATGATTTTAGGATTAGTTTCTTACACTCTTTGCCATTTGTTTTAATAAAAAGCCATTATCCATAATATTCCTTAAAAAATAGTCATGTATTAACAGCTGACAGTATATATTTTGTTCTGTATTTGGTTTTGCATCATTTCATGTAATTGTTGGCAGGAAGTTTCTCTTAATATGGAAATAAGAAATTGCAGCAGCTTGTCACAGAAGATGAGAAGATGCTTTTTCACAGGACTATTTTCTCCAATAAGAAATTCAAGCTACCAAATTTTTTCCTATAAATCAAAAGTCAAAGTGTCATTATTAATCTTAATATATCAGGACAATTTAAACTTCCTATCAATGAAGATCTTATTATTCTGACTCAATTGTTTTCTATCTGTTTCCTTTCTGCTTTGATTTGTTAAAACTATCACAAGCTTCTTCTCTAAATAAATAAACGGCAAATTCCGTCTGCCCATCTGTGTGTCTGAAACCCTTCTAACTTGGGTCATATTTGCTTTACATAGATATATTATACTTTTCTGGAATCAGGATGATCCCTGGATTTTAATCTGCTCTTCATCTGGTGCTTGAACATCCAGCATTGAGATTTGTGTCCAGGAGGAGGAAACAGTTAAAAATTCAAATTTTAAAATAACTGAAAAAAATTAGTGATTTTAAAAGTTTTTAATTTATATTGAGTTTAAGGTAACACAAAAACTTTGTGAATTTAAAAATTTTCATTTTAAATTCTGTTTCAAATATCTCCAAAACTTTGAATTGAGGAAATCAATTTTATTTCTTCAAAATGCCAAGGAATCAGAGTTAAAATGAGAAGTTTTGTGACGCGTGGTTTTAAAGTTCCACAGAGTTTGTGATTTGAAGAACGCAATTTTCTGCCTGAATTGGAATTTTGGCCCAAATCGGTCTTTTGGCTGGAATTGAACTTATAGCCTGAATCAGAGTTAAAGTGAGGTTTTCAAGTTTCATGGAGTGAATTGAGGAATTTAAAATTATTTCTTCAAAAATATCATTGCTGTATTCATTTTGAGCTGGAGGCCAAATTAACCCTCCACAGGAACTAGTTTAAAGGCCACACTCTATGCAAACTTTTAAGATAGTGTAAAATAAGACCAGCTATTTTAATTTTTTTTTATTTTTATTTTTGGTGGGGGCAAAATTTTATTATTGCAATAAAAACAATAAAAGAAGGAAATGATTTGTTTTTGTTTGATTTGTTCTTTTTTTTATAGCTTTGTGGATTATTTAAAGCCAAAATATATTTTGATTTGAAAGAATAATTCTTTTTTTGTGAGTTAATATTGCATTAACAATGTTTTGAGAATAACAATGACTATCTAACCCATAGCTTGGGGGAGAAGATGGATTTATATCTTTCCTAAGGGTATTGGTGTGTAAGTGAATATAACAAACCCAACTGGAATTTGAACTCAGATATTGGATTTCTCATTCCAAGCCACTATCCATTACACCACCTGCACATCATGAGAGAATCAAAGAGAAAAGAAAAAAGAAAAGATATGTTTACCATATTGAATGCAAGAAAAGAAAAATATACAAATATTTCATTTCTTCTTTCATTTTATTTGCTTCATATTTTTTCATTTTCTTTACTCTTTTGTTTCCCAAAAAAAGTCTTTATCTTCATTAACAAATATAAAATATAAGTAGAAAGTCTAGAATTCATATTGTAGCCAGTATAATGGTACAAAGCTTATCATTCACCCTGTAAACTATTAAATCAAGCAAGTCCTTAATTTAAGTGTGAGATTAGGGAAATATAAGTAAAACTATTTCAGTAAAAAATAATTTACAAAAATAAAACTGAAAATAAACAATATTATTGAGATAATTGCTTGTCATTAGGAAGTGCAAAACTACAACATTTTGAAATAAATCGAACAAAACACCAAAATTCAATTTCTCTTTTTCTCTCTTATATCTCCAACAAGGTAAGACATTTTTTCACCTTTCACTACCTTTTCTTCAAATCCCCACACATATATATATATATATATATATATATATATCAATATACTGCTTACAGTAACTTTCAGAAACTCCATCATTGTTGTTTTACAAGCAAAAGACATTATTTATTTAAAACACTGAACATGTCTGTTGATTTCAGTCTAGGAAGACCTGCACGCAGTGATGCCATGTCATCACTGCATTGGCTGAATACATAGCTATAGAATCCAGTCTAGTCCATTGTGTTGTTTGGATCAATGATTTATTGATCATATTCTCTGATCCTGACAGCAATGACATTTGACTTGTATTTTCAAATGCTAAATATAATTGTCTGTTTTCATTTACCCCATTGGATCTCTTTTCATTCTACTGAGTCATGACATTACAAACTGATTTTCTAAAATTTGAACAAGAATAAAACTGATAGCGTTTACTTGACTTTTCTAGTCATATATTCATATTCTATTTTAATAGCTAGTAATACTAAATATATAAAATACTTGTTTACAAAAAATTATTAATATACATTTCATGAAAATAAATTCCACTTTCAAAAAGACAAATATAAACTTAATTTCAACAACACATATAGAGAGGTAATATTTTTTTTTTAAAGAATCTAATTTTTTTTCTAAAAAATTAGATTAGCTGAGAACCTAGAGATATTTTAATTTGTTACATGTTGATTATTTTTAATAATATTACATAAATAAATATTCAATAAAATATTAATCAAAATGAGAAGGAAAAAGATTTTACTTGAATGTATTCTTTAAATAGGGATGGAAAAGAAACAGACACACTGACCAGGGGAAGAACATTCTAGTGCAGGAGCCTCATCTGAATTGTCTCCACAGTGGTCAATGCCATCACATTTCAGACTCAGTGCAATGCAAAGGATATTAAAACATGGATACTTGAACTTTTCTGGACAACCATCTGAAAATTGAAAAGATAGCAATTAGCTCATTGTAAAGTAATCACATCTGTTTCTTTAATATCAACATCTGTTTCTCTAGTTATAAACAAAAATGGAAAGAACGATTTTTCAATGGACTCTTCACAACAGAAGTTTCTTTCTCTCAAACAAGATTTTATTTTATTTACACTTTTTACATGCAGGCTATTACCATTCATCAGCAGGCAGGTTAGGTTTAAGATTTCAAATTTTTTTTAATCATTTAACCTCAAACAAGGCAATAAAGCCACTAAGACACAACTCTGCTCACTGAGTGTGGGTGAATATGAGTAAAAGAATCATTATTAAAGAGAGAGAACAATAAAAGAACAGGAATTAAGATGATAGATAACGATAGACATTGCATTAATATTTTTGAAGATCAAAGTTGACTGGGAAGCAAGAATGTGGAAGAGAGTTCCACAAGCAAGAAGTGCAAGAGAAGAAGGTTGTTGATGAAAAGAATTTACGGTTCTATCTAGCCGCCATTTCAATTGTAAAATAACGAGACCTTACTGCCAATCTAAGAGTATGCTTAAATACATAAATTCGAGGCACCAAAGGGGAAAGTTCATCAGAACAATTACCACAAAAATATTTATAGAAAAGGCACAAGGAAGCAACATTATGGTGATTAGAAAGTAACTGAAGCCAAGATGACTGGTCAGGACCAATAACATTTTAGGGATATTAAAATTAACACGCCATTTCTTGTCCCAGTTAACAACATATTGGAGGTCATTTTTTTAGATTAGCTGCCAATTTAACCTTATTGGACCAATCATACTTACCATTAAGACAGGCAAAAATATTTGTGTTATCAGCATAGATACCGAGTTAAGAACTGATGATATCAGGAAGGTTGTTGATGAAAATTAGAGCCCTGGGGAGAGCTGCATTAATGCAAAAAGATCTAGAAGAGTGGCCATCATCACTGACTGACACATTGTCACATGTGTCTCAACTGTTAATCAATGCATGGACTCTCTTTCATCAACTGTCCTTCACTGATTGTTTTTCACAGATCTAGTCACTGACTGTTGCTGACAAGTAGTTTTTAATCGCTATGGGTTGGCTCCAGATTTCTATCTGAGTTTTGCATGGGAATGTACTCAGTAACCTGAGCCCTGACCCATTTCCAGTTCATTTGGAGTAAAACCACACAGACATTGTAGAAAGTATATCATATGACTTGTCCTATCCAATTAGGTTCCAGAAATCACTTATTTAATTTGGAGCCATGTTTGTACAGAATTGTAAAATAATTTTTTGTATCAACTAAATTTAATAAGATTTATTTGTAGGAATCTTTTACTTGTTTGTGCTTCACTTATTGGCCATAAAATATAGGAGTTTATATCCTATAAAGCGCTGGTTTGTGAATTTGGTGACATAGTAATTGTGAGTTCAATCCTTGGTCCAAGCAGTATGTACTTGCACTCAGTGGAAACCGGGCAAGCAATAACTGTGCAGTACTAAAAATAATAACTAGACAAGATATGGGCAGTGGAACAGTCCATCTCTGTAGATTAACTAAAGTGTTCAGTTTGGAATTCCCTATAGGTTAACCTAGATTGGCATACACCTGTTGAAGGCTGAATGGCATAATGGCCAAAATAAAGTCAAAATAACAACAAAGATGAGGTCAACAGCCTGCATCTAAATATTGACAACTCCTTATCCCAAAAATTCAGACAGAAAGGTTTTATTTGTGATCAGTCAGAAACAAGTAATTTAGAATTGTTAAATCTACTTGAGTAAGATTCTAAATTTTGTTACATCAGCAATAAAACATTCATGATTGAAAATGTTTTTTGGAAGAAATAAATTTGTCATGACTTATCTTTTATAGGAAATGTTATTTTAGAAAATAAAAAATATCACTGATTTTAGAACTTATTTGCAATCAAAGGTTTATGAGAAGACATAAATTTTAATTTTTTAAATTAAGTTAAACTTTGCCATTTAAAATTATATTTACACAATTTACATTGTTCAGACTGTTGTCCTCATCTTTTTTTATCATATTCACGTTTTTTATCATATTCATGTTTTGACCGTTGTACACTGTTCAGGTCATATATTTTCAAATTTGAACTTGTCCATTTAGTGCACTGGGGTAGATTGTTCTAGTTCCATGTACTATGACTTCTGGATATCATAATTTCAGTTATTTCCCTTTAGTAACTCAAATCTTCAAGTTTTTGTTCACCTTTGCTGTGTCCAGATATTGAACTCACAACACTTTTGGGTCAAGTCACTGAATTACTTCAACCAACACTTTTACCCACTGGGCCATGTGTTTAGGCAACAGTCCAAACAATGTAAATAGTATAAATAGTTACAATAACTCATCTCAGAAATATAGACACATGTTAAAATTATATGTAATCTACAAACTATACATTTTAGCATTAAAATAGAATTGTTTTTTTGTTTTGTTTGGAAACTAACTTTTATATTTTTGAACAAATCAAAACTAATTTTTTTGATTATTTTTTATCTGTTTTTTAATAAACAACAGATTAATTTTCAGACTTAGAAATGGCCAGATTCATCTTTCAAGAAATGGGTTGTTACTATTATTCTTTTTAGCTGTTGTCTCTTGTTTTTTTTCTCACCAACCAATTATTAATTTTGAAATGTACCAGTTGACATCAGAGAGCAGGATGAAATAAACACTGGTTGTAAAAATTGTATAAGGATGAGCTCAGAGAAGAGATCAGAGTTTTTTACGAAAAAAAAAAAATTGATCACGAGTTAATATGATGAGGAAAAAAATAGATGCACTGAAACATCATCAAGAAAAGATCTGAGTAGTGAAAAGAGAAACCTAAAAAGAAAGTATAAAAAAGCCAGAATACATGTCACATAGACCATCATCACATACAGGATAACTATAAACCATGAAAATCAATCACTCTTTCACATTTAACTAGCACACCATTGGTATGCTGTGCAATTTTGTGGAACAGTAAAACTAAAAATGGGTTTATACAACAAAGAGAAAACTAACAAGAGAAAAAGAGATTATGATAAAAACACAATACAAAGGAAAGAAGATTTTAACTAAGGAAAGAGAAACATCAAATACTTTCGATACGGACATCAGTAGCTGAACAACAGTTGAATTGTTGATTTAATTATTAACAAAATAATCCTTTGGAATTCCTAATGTATTCATGACATTCTGGTTGTTTAAATATATGTATTTTTAAGCTTTTCTTAGTATAGCACAAGGCCGTGAATTTGGGAATCTAGTGAGAATCAAACTCACTACAGTATTAATGGTCTACATGACAATTACTTCTTGGTGAAACACCCAAGAGTGTTTAAGTGAACAAGAATCAATTTTATAATTTAAATCGAGGTTTTTAATATGTAAAGAAGCACAGATATTAAAATAATAATTAAATTAAAATTATTTTTTTACATTATTTACATTTGTATTAATGCCTTCAGCTTTGTTGTTGTTATAACAACCATTTCAGCTGTCATGCTGTCCATCTTTCTTCAGATGTCTGTTGATCTAGGTAACCTCCCAGGAATTTTAAATTAAACTCTTTCTTTAATCTTTGGGAGTAGTTCCCATTTTGTTTTCATTCCACTGTCCATGGATATTTCTTGTCTTAATCTTTTTCAATACGCTCCTGTCAGACAATAGCCTAGTGGATTAGTGTTGGTTTGTTAATTTGCTTGCATAGTATTTGTGAGTTCAATCCCTAGGCCTGTTAGTAAAGTGGAAACAGGGTGAGCAATAACTGAGCAGTACCAAATAAGATAATCCCTAGGCATAGACACTGGACAGCAGAACAAGAACAATATAGACCTGTAGATTAAAGAAGGGTTCAGTCTGAATTTTCTTGAAGGATTCCTGGATTGACAGACACCTGAAAAAGGCCAGAGGACACAAAAACCAAAACATCGTAATAACAAAGATAAAAATAATGATAATTCTTCTTACACAGAATTTTTTATAATTAGACAGAAAAATGGTCTTCTATTTAAAAAAAATAATAAACAATATCTACAAAATATTCCATGTTTGCAAAAAGGACACATAACAGAAAAATAGCAAAATAAAATGTGAGATGAGACAAGAATAATAATTTAATATTTTACATAGAGAAATAAAATTAAAACAAAAAGAAAATTACAATATTTAGTCAGACAATTAACTGAACAACTATAAAACACAACAAAAGGGAGGATTGTCAACTGCAAGTGAAGGAAATCAGAATATTTTAACTGAAATAAAATAACAAATATGTAAGTGCCATACATGATACATGCTTAGGCAATCATATATCTTTCAATACATGACTGATGAGGCAAATTTTTTTTTCCTGCAGTAGGTTGCCATTTCTTTCTGCAGTAGACCAGTTGCCATCCAAGGCTATAGAACCTAGTCTGTCCTGCTATTTACCCATAGCTGGGGGGAGAAAAAGAGGATTCATACTTTTCCCAAGGGTATTAGCACGTAAGTGAACGTAATGGATTTGACTGGAATTTGAACTCAGCTCTCCGATTCCTCAATCCAAGTGCTATCCATTACACCACCATACCTCCTCCAAAATATGGGATTTGGGAAATTTTTTTCCAATTTAAGCCTTCTCAAATGTTATAAAAATAAATTGAAATATTCACAAATTAATAGGTTAATAAAAATATCCAAGCGTCTTAGCTTGACTACTAAAGAAAATATTAATATTAGATTCATGTTTTAATTTGCTGACTGCATTGAATGATAACTCAATTGATCTTTGCATTAGATTGGAACACTAAATATAATAATGGTCATCATAAAAGAATGAAACCAGAAATGGTTGTATATAAGCAGACATGCAAGCTCTATATTCACAGCATTTCAGTTTCTTGAATTGGACTGAAAATTTGGACATTGTTTTTATGTTAAAGCAAAATTTAAATAAAATGGACAAATGTTATTTGGTTAAGAATTGACTGGAAAATGATCATTTTCCAAAGAAAAGTCTGTTGTTCAGCATATTGTTCGCATTCTTTTTATTATTACCACAATATATCAACTTTCCTCAGGTATACAATTCATTTCAAAAAAGAAATCAAGACAATTACCTTTTGTCATTGTGCTTGCTGCTGTATATGAAAAACGAATTTTGTCTTGTCGGTAAAAGTTTCCCCTCAGTCTCACATAAAAGCCCTGACTTTGATCATGAGTGTTCCATGTTTGTGTCTGGGAATACTGAGTGCATGTATATTGGGCTACAAGCCGTTCAACAGAACTGATTCCATTATGGATCTCTAAACTGTTCTTTTTTTCAAATTCCCAACCTTAAAAACAGAAGAGTGACAATTATTATTTTTAGGTTTTTTTAATTTTTAAAAAAATTGCTTTGATTAAAAAGATAGAAACCAAAAACAAAAAAAAAGACAGAAAAATCAAAAGAAAAGTGAAAACAGATAATAAAAAAAAGCATAAAAGAAAGAAATGAACAAAAAACTACAAGAATAAAATAAAATAAAATATGTAGGCATAAAATAGAAGTTAAAAAATGAAAGAAAGCAAAAATACGTCAATGAGAGTTTGAAATTCAAAACCAACAGCAAACATTTTTTTAAAATGATGGTAATATATTATCAAAAGTCATTTTTAAAGTACTTTTCAAAATTACTTACAATTTATGTTAGCCTCACATATCAAACATTTTTGATTTATATAAACTTTTAAAACATTTTTTGCAATGTCTTTTATTCCTTTTTATCATTGTTCTCTGTGAATTAGAATTTTGGATACAACATACATGTAGAAGTAGGAACTTATATTATTATTATCATTGTTAATATTTGTATAATTTGTTTAAAAATATCAATATGATTTAATAGAAATTTAATACCTTCTCAACATATTTATAATTATTTTTTTAAAGGCATAAATAATTCTTTAAAATTAATGATTAGTTTTTCTGCTCGTCCTTTTTCTTCTTATTTCTCTGCTTAACATAAAACACTATATAATTGCAATATACAAAATAAGAGCAAACACAGCATAAAAAATAGCAATAATTATCAGAATAACAAATGAAACTGCCATGTATATAGAAAAACTGCCTAATAATATATATATATATATATATATATATATATATATATATACTGGGTACGATGTATAAATTGTCATCTAAATAATTACGCAAAAATGAAAATAACACTGACATCTTATTTTAACAGATATATTTACCAAGATTACATAAAAATATCTTGAAATACTAAAGAGTAAATTTATTCAATAAAATCGCCATTGGCTTCAACTATGGCCTCCAGACGACTTCAGAATCTCCTGCAACTCTTCTGGATGGTCTTCTTGTTTAAGTTGGTGAATGCTGCCATAATCCTTGCCTTCAGTTCATCTTTGGTGTTACAAGGAATTTTGTTGGTCTCTTGCTCAACTGCACCCCACACATAATAATCAAGGGAGTTGCAGTCTGGGGAGTTAGGTGGCCAGATGTAAGAGATGATGTGGTTGCAGAAATTGTCTGACTGACATAACTGGGTTCTCTTGTATGTGTGGCATGGTGCAGAGTCCTGTTGCCAGACATTGACTTCCAGCAGCCACCCTCTTGACCCAGGGCAGCACTTCCTCAAGGCATTTGATGTAGGCCTCCATGTTGAGTTTGAGGCCCTGTAGGAAAATTTGGGGAGGCATAACAGAACCATAACTAGTGATCACTTCAAACACCATGATTTTGACTGAATATATCATCCAACTTTTCCATATCCTCTGCACTGTCCTCAGATTGACACCCAAACACTCTGAAATGTTTCTATTGGAACTTCCAATGCAAATACCAAGCAGTACAGCATGCTGTTTCCAAATTTCTGGCAGAGTGAATTGTGTCATAGTGCTCTTTTTTTCACAGATGGTGCCCAACAAGGATTGATATAGGCAATTACAAATTAAAAAAAATAATTCTTCTGTATATATATAAAAATTTAAAATATATATATATATATATATATATATATATATATATATATATATATATATATATATTTAATTAAATAATAATAAAACAATCATAAATACTTCTCTTAAATAAGCAACTAATTTTCACAGATAACCAAAGCATACCAAGATATCTTTGGTCATTTGAGGGATCTCTAATACACACCTATGTATATAATTATATTATAATGAAAAATTGGACACTGAAGAGAAAAGAGGGAATCAGCTTTTGAAATGCACACATTAATCAAAATTGTAACAGGTTCAAAACCTTCAATCAATTGACATCATAAATTTCATTGGTCTAAAAACAATTCTTTGATTTCTGTTAAACCCAATCTATCTTTACTTAAAGTCACCTACCATGTATTATGTAATTAATTATAGTAGCAATAAAAGATTATTAGAAAAATTAATATTTGGTCTTTGCTGTAAGAGATGATAATTTAGTATTCAAAAAACAAAGAAATAATGCTTGCTTAGGTTAGTTGAATAAATCCAAAGAAATACTTGTACATTCCTTGTCCAAACAACCATTTCATCCTGTCCAAAGCAAATCTTTTCAAGTGGTATTTCAGTTTCCTCTCTGATTTAGTTTTCTTATCTATTAGGTGGACTACATGTGATCTTTTGCCCAGAAAGTTGTCTTTGTAGGATCTAAATATAAGGCTTCATTCTCCTTTTCTGATTACAAAGTCAAACCAATTAAGCCCTCTTCTTCTAATCAGTTACATGATAAAATCCAGTATATTTTTATTTTTCTCTAGCAATGTTTATCACTTACAAAGTCAATTGCTACAAGTCAATTTGTCAATGTTTATTCAAATAGGTTCATTTTATAAACAAAATTAGTTTAAATTGAAGCTGAATATTTTCAAGTTTGGAAAATCTTTTAATAGAAAAACGTTCTCAACAAGATTATTGAATCCGGACTGAAAGTGCATTTCAGAAACTATCCAAGACCAAGTTGTGCATAAAACTAAAGAAATATAATCTGACAAATGCTTAATATAAGAGAAAACCATGACAGATTAAAAGTTTAGAATCATCTTTTTATCATACAACAATTAGTAAAGACTGTGACCCTTTTTCTTTACTTACCATCTTTCATAGACAATTCTTTCAAGTGTAAATGAATTTGATAATTATACTTTTCTTCAGGAATTTTCTTAATCACCCAAACACAATCATAAGAGAATCCATACATTGAGGACATGCCATGAAATGATATTCCACCACCAATACTAGTTGGTAATGTTGCTCCACAATCTAAAATTAAGATTAAAGATAAGTAAATAGTCAGGAAATAATGATCTTGTAAAATTCCAAAGCTAAATTAACCTCAGAATTATTCATGGAGTATTAGTATATCAATATCAGCATAAAAATCAAAGGTTCAAAATTTGGAAACAAAAATATTTGTCTCAATAAATGTTTACATAATTCTCTCCCTTTATTTATTCAATTCCTGTACTTGTTATGGACATCCGTAAAACAAGGAATTAATTTTCTATCAATTTTACACAATTTTGTTCTATTTTGTATATGTCCCAAACATTATGCGATAAAAAAATTTCAATTTATTAAATAATATATTTTTATACAAAATTTCAAGAGTATATTTTCTCATAAAAACTATGTTAAGCCAATGTGGGGGATTTCAAGTATTGGATGGACGAACACAAAATGGTGGAAGTTTGAAAATTATGGTGGGCGATATAGGATTTTGATTATTAAAAAGGTGTTTCCCTATATTCTACCTGAAAAAAAATATTCAAAGGTGATATGCAAAGAATGTGTTAAAAAAAAAAAAAAAAACTGGATACTAACTGGGAATAACTGGGTCACATTCCCAGATAAGATATAAATATCGGATCCCCATAAACAAAGAATATTTTGGTATTTTATACAGTTTTGAGAAGAGTCATTAACAATCAAATAGTTCTTCAGACAAAATAACATTTTGTTTTCAGATATAAATCACATAAGGGAAGACCAAGTACAACTTTACCAGTAAAATTAAGAAGTGACCTGTGGATAATTTTTATTTAATATGAAATTGTTTTTACTTTTTTTATTGCATTGGTCACCTTGAATTTATCAAGGCAATAAAAGTGTCCATCCAAACATAATTTACCCATCACTGTATGCTTTTGAATATCTACTATACAGGTGGGTAATGATGCAAAAGATATTGGGAAACCCTGAATTAAACCAATAAATTTTGTTTTCTCCCAGTGTGCAATTTTTAAGATATAAATATGAAGTTAGGCAAAATTGGATTGTTTCAAACTTTAAAAAAAAATGTTTTTTTATTTTTTAGCAAAATCTCAAATTTATTTTTTTAAGCAAACCATACTAAAACCACTAAAGACAGGGACAATCACTCTGCAAAAATGTTAAATCATAATAAGGATTTTAGAAACCACTGAATGTACATGATGTCTATATTTCATTATAGCCAGGTGAAAAGTGATAAAGATGGCAATTGTCTGGTACATTTTATACAGAACACACAAATGTCAAGGTAGACTCTTCCAAATTATGTTGATAATTTTTGAAATGTGGAATTATCTTTATTAAATGTCTCCTTCTTCAGACCAGCATTTCAGCCATTACACTCTTCAATCTTCTTCAAGTATCTGCCATATTTAATAAATCTTCTTAGAATTTTGAACTGAATCCTTTATTTAATCCACAAGGATATATTGTTTTCATTGCATTTTCATTGCTTAGGGGATATCTTGCATCAGTTTGATTCTCACTTACCTTTGTATTGTTTGTTCATTTCTTCCACTGAACCAGAGTTTTCACTACTAACAGATCCAGGGATTGAACTCACAACTGTCAAGGAACCAGATATGTTTTAATCAACACTTTCATCCACTAGGCCATGTGTCTATATGTGTCTCATAAAATGAGTATATTAGTCTGAATAATAAGGACACAAATAATAGACACTTCCAGTTCAACCGACATTTTCTAAACAGTTCTGATCAGTGTTGGATTTACATATGTCCAAACTGTCAAGTTTTAGTTTTGACATATTGTCCAGAGTTTAGACCTCAAAACAACATGTGGCCAATGTAAACCCTGGACAATATGTCAAAAGTAAAACTTGACAATTTGTTGTTTTGAAACTAGTTTCAAGCAGAAGCACAGACCAAGCTTGAATGTTTGGATTCCTGACACTCAGATAGCAACAAAAACCTGAGTAGACAGATCCCAACACTATTAATGTTCAAAATCAAGTCTTATCAAGAAAAGTCCCATAAAACACCTCATTAGTTAATAAAGTGTTTGTTCTTAGGTAGTCATAAGGAGCAGAGAATTATATATTTTTCACATAAATTTTTATAAGAATAGGTAGTTACCTCTTAATGCTAAAGACTGGTATTTAAGTCCAGAGAAAAAATAACATTTTTTTATGCTGATTTTCAAGACATGTCTTACTTGGAAGTTATTTATATAGTCTATGCTTTAACTATGCTAATTAAGCAGTCATTTACATATCACTACACATAGTCTAAGCTAGGTGTTAGTATGTTGCTCACAAGTGTAACAGCAAAAGCCTGTACTACATTTGCTCTGTTTGCAAATTTATCAAACTTATTTTGTACTACTCGTTTAAAAGTTAAACAAAAAATAAGTTACTTAAAAAAATATTATAACTAAGAAAGTGTTCTCTTTAAGAACATAGTAAACAAGAATTGTTGATAGAATTTGGGGGAAATGAGCATACTTATAACTGAAGGTTTTCTATGGATTAAAAAATGGATGAGGAATAATTTTGGTTTTATGCAAGTATGTACATAAGCATTTAAGTGTATGACGTATTGTTTGATCCCAGAAAATGATGACATGATAACTTACCAACTCTTATATTTTCTCGACTTCTCTCTGAAAAGATAAAAAAAAAGATAGAAAAATTTAACATAAATTGCATAAAAAAAATTATATTTTTATAATCAAATGTTTTCTGAACATCACCTTTATTCAGTGTTTATCCTTCTAAAAAGAAAAAAGTGAGAAGTAGGGAGAAGGAAGAAGAAAGAAGAATTTCAATGGAGAAGGGTGGAGGAAGAGGATTTCTAGTCTCTTATCCTTGCTCTATAAATATTTTTAGAGGCACTTATGAAAAAATGAAGAAGCCACTTATGCCAAATGAAACTTGCAAAGAAACAATCATTTATTAATGAGACAAAAATATTATTCGAATATACAAATTGTACAAAATACAATATAGGCATTGCACAAAATTTCACTTGTGCATCTCAAACTATCAAGGAAGGTTAGAAACAGATTTATATTTTGAAAGGACTGTTAAGTCCTTTCAAAATACAAATCTTAGACAAAAACAGTTCATAAATAACAATTTTTTTCTTTAACAACAAAGGAATTTTAGCAACTATCTTTTAGAAAAAAGTATTAATTTTTTTAGCAACAAAAGAAATTTACTTCAAAAAGTTCACAAATTCAAAATGTCTTCAAATTTGTAACCATTTTGAGTATTGTTTTTCATTCTCATATAAATCTCTTTTAATTTATTACAACATTTTTGCTGAATTGGCATCTGAGAGACTAAGGAACCATTTCATTAATTTATTGTCACTGGAACCTTTTTTTGGCAATGTTGAAAAAAGCATTGTCTTGTATGAATGTACACTTTAGATTAAAGATTCTGGAGTCAGATCCCCAAAAAACATCATGTCTAAGAACTTAAATAATTCTCTGTATTTAAATTTGAAGGGACCTATAATGCAGCATACTGTTATACTACTTTAATCATGATCTCTTTCAGAGATTCTGAACATGAATTTTAAACCTGTTATATTTACAATTTCATCAATTTATATCAACTTGAAGCACAAAGTCAAATAGGCAAAATCTTATTACAAACTGCTAAAGTGACAGGTAAATCATCAATAATAAACAAACATAAACAGTATAAAAATCCAATTACCTGATACAAATGAAAAAGTGGCTTTAAATCCAATGTTTGAGCAGCAAGAAGCCAATTTAGATCCAGTATAGAAAAGCAGAAGTAAAGAGCTGGTGTTGGAAAATATTATTGGTCTTTCAAAATGTTTCAAGATTATTGGTGGTTGCAAATTGCCATCAAAAACCTGCAAAATTTATAGAGAAATTTAGAAAAAAGTCTGTAAATTTCCATATTGAATCCAAGACATAAAATTAAAATTATTTCAGTGTATTTTGACTAACAAAAATGAAAGTTAATTAATACTGAGTCAAATTTTTCCATATATACTTTGTAATAATTTGGGAATATGAAAAAAAATCATATTTATTTATTGAATACTGTTCTAATAATGTTTTTCTCTTTTAAAAACATTTTTATAACAATATTAAAATCCTAATCTCTTGTCACTGAATAACTTATTAAAATGTTTAAAATAAAGAGGAACGATCACTAATTTATTCAAACTGGTTTTCTCATCTTAGTCATCTTAATCACAATGTTTTGGTTATTGTATCATCTAGCCTTCTTCGGGTCTCTGTCATATTTGATAACATTCTCAGTGTTGAACTAAACCCTTTATTCAATTCAAGAAGGTAGATTGAAAGGGGACATAACTCAGTTTTTTTTTTTGTTTTTAATGCCATGTCCCTTCAGGACATAGGTGATCATAGTTTTCCACAGATTTCTCTTTTCTTTATCTGCAAATTGAAATGATTTCTTGAAAAAGATAGTGAAGTGGTTTCCCATTGACTTCTTCATGGTTTCAAATTCAGAGTTGTCCTGCTCTTAGAATGACTGCCATCTAAATTGAAACAGCCTACTCTGCTATTTAACATAGTAAGTGAGGTAGCTGAAGAGCTGGGTTCATGCCTTTCCTGAGGGCATTAGAGCAAATGTGAATGTAACAGAGCAAGCTGAAATTTGAACCAAGATTGTTGATTCCATTTCCTCTTATGACATTCACACATCCTAACTCATTAATTCTTCCCAGGGATTGAATTCATCACTACAACATAAACTGCATGCATTTAACTAATATCTAGATCCAATCAATTACTGATGAGGAATTACACTTGTATAAGTTATAAAGCAAATTATTTTTTCTGCTTGCCAATTCCTCTTTCCATACCAATAACTGTTTCAACCCGCCCACCACACACACGCATTCACATTTCTGGAAATAATAAATAGGAATAGATTAATATTTAATACCTAATAATGTTCATTATTTATATATTAAAGAATTATAATTTTCCTCTTTATAATTTTCTCAAGAGATTAATTGGGGATATAACATTTTAAAAAATTTTGTTGCATGTATTTGAATATATACAGAAAGTTTTTGAATATATATTGCAAAAAATTATTCTAGTGTTTATATCTACCTAACACATGTAACTACCACCACCACCTAAAAGAAAGACTTGAATACAAAAAGATCTAAAATTTTATTGTTCCTAAACTAAAAGAACTAATAGAATATCAATAAATTCAGCCTACAGTCGATGTCATAAACATAACACAAATGAAGCAATTTTGTTCTGTAGACAAAATTTCTTTTGATTGCAACAGGTTATGTTTAAGACCATTATATTTTTGATTAGTCTCACTGTAAAAAAAAAAACAGTCACCTTAGATCTTTGATCTTTTAAAAAGGTATCTTTTAAAATAGATCCTCACCAAAATAAAAGAGAATGAAAAACTGTTATCATTTATTTCAATCATTAGAACATTGTCTTAGTGTCAAGAAATAAAACATCAATTCACATTTCTAAGGAATTCTTTTCATCTCTTCCTCCATATTGAAAGGACTTATAAACATTAGATTATCATTTATTTCAATCATTAGAACTTTTTCTTAGTGTCAAGAAATAAAACATCAATTCACATTTCTCCTGAGATTTAAAAAACAAAGACATACAGAATTTGATTAGGAAATAAGAAGATTCTTTTTATTCTGGATGATTGTAATTGCTAACAACTTTGATTATGTCATTGATTAATTTAACTTAATTACAATTGCATCTCTTTTTATCTACTTTTTAAAAATGCAATGAGACTTAACAAAGTAACAAATTGAGATTTGCCATTTAGTTTGCATCTCTTTGGTTGGAAGCTGCTAATTTTCCACACAATAAATATCAAATATAAGTCAAAGACTAAAAAAATGAATGCCTATCCTTATATATGAATAAATGAATTGATAAGATTAATTTTTAATTTTATAAAGATTAATCATCCTGTTTGTTCTTCACAAAGACTAACAAGGAAGATAACTCTAATACAGCAAACTGTTAGATGAAATTTATACAAATACACTTGGTATATTATGGAGATTACCAATTATCTTTACTGCATGCAAAATATATTTTATTTTGCTGTTTCTGTCAATTCTCTATAGAATTCTTTTGGTAAATACACATGTCCACATACATTCAGAATTTTGTTATTATATTGTAAACTAAAAACTGTTTACATTCAAGGTAACAAGCATTTTTTTTTAATTCAAAGGATTTTTACCTGGATCTCACTTTCCTGAGCAACATCCCAGTCATCAAAAACTAGTTGTATAAATCCTTTGTGATCAAGATTTTGTATGGAATAAATAAATATCTCTCCATTTAGTGCATATCCATGTGGAAAGTTTGGAGATACCAAGAAACCGCTGCTGGAACCTTCTGTGTTTGGAGAACCAGTGAATTCTTTTTTTTTTGCTTCAAAGAAAAAAATCAATAGTAATAGTCTGATATAAAATAAGACTGTTATAATTTGTTCATTATTTTTTTACATATTTCCTTTAGAGAAGTGGGCCCCAAACATTTTCTTGCTGCCTACTCCTTTGGTTCTCAGGACACATCTCCATAGCAGCCCCCCACATGAAAACACTACTTTCTTGGTATTTGGTGAATTGCAAATTTAAAATAACTAATCTAACACTGTGCATTTGTTTTTTTTTTCTTAGATGTAACCAAATTAACACATTGGCTCCCACACAATCCACCAGAGGGTCATGGTGGTATGTCTGCAAGGCCCACATGAACCTGTTTTCCAATTTCTTTTCTATAAGGATTATTAGGAGTGGGATGCTATGGGTGATTGCTTATGAGATCATGGTACACCAGAACAAAAAAATTTAAATATTTTGAAATATAGAAATTAAGTGTTAGTGTCAGTGTAATACTTGTATATTGAGAATGTTTCAATGAGCCACAGGTGGGTCATGTGTAACTCTGGGTTGTAAAATGGACTCAGGTACCGAATGACACACCAATGCATCATGGATAATAAATACTACCTATGATATCCTTGCCTCATATATGAAACAATGTTAAAACAAAGTCGTTTGTACCAAAATTAATTAAGATATAGCATTGGGACCCTGGGACAACAAGGGAAATGAGACTTGGGAGCCAATGTGTTAAACAATATTGCAACACATATAAACCTAGAGTATTGGCCCTTGCAGATGTCAGCTGTCTCATCTGCTTGGCATGTGGCACATCCTGTTCAGATAACATCAACAAGATACAAATGTTCAGGCTTTTACTTGAGATAACAAATTAAAATATAGCCATGTGTTTGTGTTAATTTTATTCTTTGTTAAGTGAACATATTCCTCAAATGAAGATGACTTAAATTTTGTTATAGATTTTCAAAAAAAGAAAAAAAGTTATTACTCGGTTCTCATGCCAACCTACAACATCCCATTACCCACTCCCTGCCCTAATTTTTAACTGCATCCTTTTTCCTCATCACCCTCCCGAGTCTTTCTACTGCCCATAGGCCAGTAACACACAACTCCAGAGAATGAGTTTTTTCTAATAAACCAAATCTCTACTCAATATCAGTTGAATGAATGATTATTAATAAACCTGATCCAAACTAGTAAACATGTGTGGATGTGAGTTGATGGATACATATGGTGGAAATAGCCTTGTCCCTATGAGTCTAATAAGTTTTAACAAAATAAATAGGACACTCAGTTTCAATAAATTACAAAAGAAACTGAAATTTTCTTACTATTTCATAACTATATATCAGCTTAAACTGGATAATATTTTTATATTCAAAGAAAAAAATGTTTCAAAGAAAATTAATAATTTGCAAAGAATTGTTATTCTTAGAAATTATTCTGCTGAAACTTTTCTCCCAATAAATATCTGCAAAATGACAACAGCTTGATAAAATTGAAACTTGTACAAACTCATCAACTCCCTCTTTCCATTTGATTAAAACATTAATGCAAATATGAAGCATATGATATGGGAAGCAAGAAGCAGCTTATATAACAAACTGAATGTTATTAAGAAATTATTAAAAAGAAATTTCTCATCAAACCCGAAATTAGAAAAATAATCAATTTCATTTTATTTGTTCAAATCAGGCAAAGTGAAAATCAAAACCATATCTACATTCTTCCTTGAAATTCAAAACATTTTATGGTACAATTTTCTCTTGCAGATTATAATTTTTGAAATTTATCACAAGCAAAAACCATCTAGTTGATGTGCACATGTGTGTGTGTGTGTGTGTGCACATATTACATACATAGGAGAGATCCCTTTTTTGCCGTCCATCAGCATGGCTGACGCTAAATGCCAGGAGAGTGACTCACTTTGTCTTCTTGGAGTAACATTTTTCACTGACATGAAATGGAAAGATTATATTGAATCCATTGCTAGGTTTGCTGTTAAGAAAGTTTGTTCATTGTGTCATACTAGATAATTTTTCTCTCCAGAAACTATCTTACATATTTATAAGTCTACCATTTACCCTTGCTTTGAATATTGCTGCCCCATCTACGCTGAAATTTCTGTTATATATTTACAGATCTTTGATAAAATCCAAAGAAGAACCTGCAATGTTATTGGTCTTGACATGGCATCTCGTCTTTAGTTAATTTCCCACTATATTAACATAGCTTCCCTGTACAATTTCTATAAATACTTTCATGGTAAATGTTCTGATGAACTTTACTCTATGAATTCAAATACAGTACTAGATTGAGAGCAAGGTCTCATCCTTTTACAGTTGAAATGGCTGCTACATATAGTCGTATGTTCTATGCTAACAGTTTCTTGTATTGCACTTCACACTTGTGGAATTCTCTCCCAGCTTCATGCTTCTTAGTCAACTTTAATCTTCCAAAATTTAAATGCAATCTCAATAGTTATCCTCTTAATTCTTGTTTGTTTATTGTCCTCTCTCCTTATTACTTTCTTTTATCATATTCTCTAACACTCAGTAACCCCCTTGTGTTTTAGTGGCTTTATTGCCTTACTTGAGGTGAAATAATAAAAAAAAATATTGTGTGTGCTTTGGAAAAATTTATTTCTTATAATTTATTTGTTATAATTGTTTTCTACAATGTAAGTGTTGCTGTTATTGTTGATATTTTTTGTGGGAGGGTGTTGGGGGGTACTAATCAAAAACATAAATACAAGTTATATATTTTAAGAATCAAGACAGAAGCTAATTCATAGATTTGATACAGCATCAATATCTTTCTTCTAGAAAACAATTTCAATTGAATAAACAAGAAAATATTGTTTTTTATTTAGTTATGAATTTGATCAGACTTTTTGAGCAGTTGTTTCAACGGAAATAAAATGATCCTTTAAAATGTTTGTCTAAACAAATATCTCTTTTCACATTGTCATATTTCATCATCCATGACAATATTTAAATGACCAACAACTGTGGGGATGTCAGTTAATTTAGTACTACATAAATTGATTGGTTCACTCATAAAAGTTAGGGAGAATTTCAGTGAGGAATAATTTTTGTAGATTAGCATTCATTAGACCTTCTTGAAGTCACAACATTTTTCAGAATAAAAACATATTGATGATTTTATGAAATGAGAAGGGACAGTCCTGTTCATAATATATATATACACTATCAAATTGATTACTGAATTTTTAAAGAATTATCAATACTTTGTTTTTATTTACAAATGTCAAGTTTGAAAGCATGCTTACATTAATTATATCAATGTACAAATACTGCGGTTTAAGGAAAGGTCCTAAGGTTCCAAACCATTTTATGTCACCACCCACTTCCACATGGAAAAATTTTCCACTGTCCACTTGTATAGTAAATATTCAAAAACATACCAAAATTATTTGGTAAAAGTTTGTTACTAGTTTATAAACTGACTTTATGAAGTAGTAAAATTACCAAACAGAGGTAACATATAACACTGACTTATGCAGCTGCTGCTGCTAATATTGTATTAAAGGAAAAAGGAAGGCAAACTATATAAATGAAAACTATATATATAATTTAGTTTTATAGTTAAGGTTAGCATTTATGGTCAAGTTTAATTTCAGGGTTAGGGTCGACATTTCAAGTGTTGATAAAAAAATTAAACTATTTTTGTTCATAATTATAAAATTAAAAAGAATATACAACTAATAAAAATTCAACAAGTTTTTGTTGTTGAGATCTTCCTTTATCTGATTCATATCTGAAAAAAATGTTATTTCGTCTGAAGAACTAGTTGAATATTAATGACCCTTCTCAAAACTATAGAAAATACCAAAACATTTGTTGTCTGCAGGGATATTTATATCTTATCTAGGAATGTGACCCTGTTATTCCCATTTAGCTCCCATTTATTTTTTAGTGTGTGTGGGGGGGGATATACAGGTTCTTTGCATATCTACTTTGAATATTTTTTCGGGTATCATATGTTGAAATACCTTTTTAATACTCAAAATTCTATATTGCTCGCCATGTTTTGTCCAGTTGTTCATTGCCCACCCAACAGTTGAAATTTCTTACTAGTAAGCAATATCACCCAAGTTAGTAACTGCTAATCTGTAAAAATGTTCACCTGTTTTTTATAAACAGACCAATCAATATAAGCAGTGCCATTAATTTCTTTATCAGTGTGAATAACTGTATCAGCCTCTACAATGAGGATGTATGAGTCATAATCATTACAAGTGCAAGTTTTTCTTTCTTATATAGCATTCAGTAGAATTTGACATTATATTATTGCGGTAGAAAAAATTCTGTACTTTTCCACTTTGGCAATTGCATTTTTTTCAGTCTCATTTATTTCAAATAAAAATAATATTGAAATTCACATTTGATGAGGATTGCAGATTTTAGAAATACACTCAAATTCTAACAAACCATTTTACAAAAATAGTTATCATGGATTGTGACACAGCAGAAAAAAAGAAGAAGAAAACCTTACACGTCTCAGCAAAAACAACTTACCTACCACTCTGTATATAATTTTGAATTTCTTTCCTTCAGGCAGAGTAGCATTAGACATACAGTGGATTATTCGAACATATGATGATATTGAATCATATGAAGTGGTCTCATTAACGCTGAAATAATTCTTGTGAAAATACAGATTGTAAGGTCGGTCACCCTCGGACACATGAATGTGGTCACAACTACAAGCAAAGAATAAGAATTGGTAGAATTATTGATTCCTAAAAATAGACAATGATGATAAATTTTAAAAAATTTGGTCAAATATTATAACTTATATTTTAAAGAATTGATTTAACAGTGTTGAAATCATTATAAACATGTGTATGGTAGCACAAGAGAACAAACGAAACAACAAATACCATCAGTGAGGTGAAAAGAAAAGACAAGAATTGTTAATATAAAATTCTTCGTATGGATGTGAGCTGAATGTCTGTTTGTGGGCAAGGGAAATGACTTGAAGGAATGGTAGACTTGATGCATGTGTTGGGTTGCTTGGTTGTGTTATGTTGAGAGTGGCTGGTGTGCAGATTAGTGAAACTTGCCCATTCACTGTGAATTTGTTTCAGTCGTTTATTAGTGGCATTCTTAAAAGCAAATGTGGTGGCTCATAAACTAATCTTATTTTCATGTTTTTTCTTAGGGGAAAAGATTGGCTTCTTTTATGTTGTTATTTTATATTTTTTGAGGGGATTTGTTTTTTGGGCTATATGTGATGCTTGGAGCTCCTGCACAGAGCACAATGTTTTTATTTTTGGTTTTGCTTTCTTAGCATTCACATACAGCTGACATGTAGTATAAATCAGAAAGAGATCTAATTTGAAGCAGAGTATAACAAAATTAAAATGGTATTTTTAAAAATTGTAGAATGTCTATGTAGAAGCACAAAATGCTGATTACAGTCTGGCATTCTTTAACATTCTTTTCAGTTTTCTTTGGTTTGGGTAACATGAAGTATTTGAAGAAGAGAATGATGAATTTGAACAGAAAAATATGTATGAACAACATTTTGATATACAGGTTATCTTATCCTTTTGGAGCTACAGTTAATTTAAAAGTGTAATTTACTCCAGATTAAAACTAATAAAATGTTAATAACTTTGCTTTCTTTCAATACAAATATTTTTAATATTTTATACATTATCCAAAAAGGCATTTTTACAATGGAAATAAAAGTTCAAACTGTCCATATGTGTGTATAGAAATGATACACAGAGAAGAATTCCAGGGTATGTATATATCCAACAGGTCATCAAATAATTTATATCCAAAATTTAACAACAATAGACTGAATTATATTTTTTGCTATTCTAAAATACCTAAGTGATAACAATACATAGTACTATGTGTTTATAGAGTTTTAAAATACTAAGTTACACTATCACAATACAGTTTATCTTCATTACTAAAAGTACACATTACTATGGAACACAAGAAACATATGTTCTATGAGTTTAGAAAAGGCAATAATACTGAGGAGCAACCTAAAATAGTCATGGTGTTTGTAGACACTGCAAACAGGACATCCTGTTAAGTTTAATGACAACCTGCTTTTGAATTTGATAATAATCATGCTGTTTGGTTGAAGAATTAGCTTCAAGACTGATTTCCAGCCATTCAAAAGTTCTCCATCATCTGCAATTGCCTTGGAAAATGGATTCCTCATAACCTGACTGAAGTCAACCATAAAGCAAAGAATAAACATCTACACTTCTCTGTTCTCCTATGAATACATCTGATCCTTTTTTTAATGGATTATTGACTGGTGATGAAAAAAATGAATGTTTTACAATATAAACTAATACAGACAATAGTTTATTGGAAACAAACAAACAAAAGGACAATCAAGAATAGACTATCATTCAAGGAAAGTATTGCAAAATGTTTAAATGGGACTGCATTGGTGTAATCCACTTTAAGTTGCTACCAATCAAGAATATACTGTTTGAATGACAGCAGATATCTATTGTCATCATTTCAGTCAGTTATATGCTATGCTTGATACACACTTAGGCAAACATGATTCTTTTGATACATGACTGATGAGGCAGATTTTTTTTTGATAGACCAGTTGCCATCCAAGGCTATAGAACCTGGTCTGTGTTGCTATTTACCATAGCTGGAGGAAGAAGTAGAGGATTCATACTATTCCCAAAGGTATTAGCATGTAAGTGAATGTAATGGATTCAAATGAAATTCAAACATAGGCTCTCTGATTCCTCGATCTGAGCCGCTATCCATTACTCCACTGTGCCATCATTTAGAGTTTTTAAATGCAGTTCTGAAGGAAAAGAGTCTCAGTTTGATCAATCACAAAGGTATTATATCATTCCATCATGAAGGTAAAACTCATATCTAAAAAGATTGAAGATCATGATTAGAAAACAAATTCTACAGCCACCTCATTCTTCACATCTTCATTCATTTGACTGCTACCTATTCTGAAACTGACAGAACCATCTTCATTATTTGTTAAAATTGATTAGTTCTTAAAATAAAAAATGTCCTTAGGTTGTAGACAAGTTTTCGAATCTTGTGTGTTTGATTTTCTGTATAGACTTTGTTCACCATCAAAACTGATTTGGTATTTCATACTTGAAACTATTATTTTCTATAACTGTGTAGTCAAGTGACATAACAGCAATAATTGGTGGTGGTGGTAGTGGTTATAAATTTCAACCATTTCTGGTTATTCAGAAACTTGTGGATTTTAATAAGAAGTTAACTTAAATGAAAGAGAATTTCATAGCATTATCAAATATGAAATTGAAAACACAGAAATTACAAAAGCATACACTGATATGAGTATAACACACAAAGACACTTAAAATATTCATGGCAAATGAATATGTAAAGAATTTAGAGTCCAAGAAGCAACACATGAGTGTTAAAAAAGAATTTAATTTTCTATCTGAAAAGGTGGGTTTATAGCGTTTTCCACAAATTACTTGAATCTGTGAACTGAAACTATGCACTCACAAACTATTAAAAATAATATTTTGTCATATGTCTAATATTTTTCCTAAACATTTATGATATGATGAACTGATCTTAGAAAACTTGTAGAGGCAAGATAATGAAGAGTCAAGTTCTGTGGCAATTTCATTCACTTTCAAGATGTATACAGCCTAAAAACATGATTTTGTGTCAGATTTTTAAGTTAATTAAATACACATAAATGTTTTAATTTGATGACATCTTACCCTGGTAAACACCAATTTTCTGCTCTCAGTTGTGAAGTGTATTCAACTGTTGGACTGATGTTACACACAGGGAATTGCAGTTTTTCAAAGTCAATGTGAAATCGACAACTGTTGCAAGCACGCAATGCCACTTCACACATAGCAGGTACATCTGACCCTGCAGAATAGGCCCCAGGATAACCAGCATTGACTACAGACCCACTCTCACCTTCCACACCAAGCAGTGTTTTACCATTGTATATCTGGATACACTCAGTCAGCCCTAGATAAGTAAAATAAAAGTTATATCAATGCAGGAACATTTAAACTTGGCAGAATTCTTGAGAAAAAAATATCTCTTGTCTGTTTTTAATCCCATTTCAACAAATGTTATCTTTCATTTATTGCTAGTTTTTTTTTTTTAATTTTTAATGATTCATGCTTTAGTTGGATAGCTGGTTTTTAAAACAAAATAATTGTTTTGTACTTAGGATTTCATACCAATCAAATTTATCAATTTTATTATCTTTATGCTCAGTCAACATATTGATGACTTTACTAGAGATCTACAAAACTTTGATAATTAACCTTTATCACTCTGTGACTTTATTTTCTGTACAAAAAGTTTATCTTGATACAGAAGGTAACTCTGATTCCTGAACAATAGTGTTTGAATTTCATAGTTGTGTTGTCATATCCTTCTATGGCAACAGAAAACAACTTTGAGTGAAATTAACAATAAGGATGCTGCAATTGAGAGACCATGAAAATGAATGCAGTGGAAAGGGAAGTAATATTAATAAGGCAGAGTGCTAAAGGTTAAATGAATATTAATTTTGAAATCAGCGATTAAAATATTTTCAAGAATTTAAGTCTGTATTGTAAAAGAATAATAATGGAAATAAAAGCTTTAGAATCAATTCTCAAGCAAAGATAATTAACATTTATTATAATGGCAAGCATAACATACAGAACAAAATATAGGGAAAACAATGACTTTTTGATTAAATTTTAACATAAAACAAACAGAAGTAACGTTTTTCATATTCTTTTAGATTTATGTATACAAATGCAATAATAAAATATAAAGTTCTTTTCAAAGAGCTGAAAATTATAATTTGAGTCATATTTGAAGAGTGAAATGCTTTCTAAAGAAAAGAAAGTTTTCTGGAAAATGTCATATGAGACTATTGAAGCAAAAATGAAGATACAAACAAGTGGTGCCAAATCAAAATCTGATGTGAGATGAGGACAACATACAAAATAATTTATGTATTTATGAATAACCATTTCTAGATTTTGCCTTGTAATGTAATTTTAAAATAGTTTTTTCCCAAACACTGTTTTATCATAAGACCTAAAACATAATACATTCAATGTTGAATATCTATTGAATCTTCTATTTACTATGCCCCTTCAGGATGTGGATGATCATGGCTCTCCACAACTTCCTGTCCTTTGTAGCTCTTAGTAAGGTGTGTCTTTTTTCTATTGCTCCTAATCCCTGTTCTGCCAACCATTTACACAAGCTTGTTAGGTAGGGTATTAGCTGCTTTTCTGTCTCTCAATATGTCCTGTAAGTGTCAAAATCTCCAAGCCCTCTTTCCTCATTATATGCTGTAGAAATTTTGTTTCTTTCTGATAAGTATAAGTGTCTATTTTGTTTTTATTTTCCCTAAAACTTCCTTGTTAATCACATGTTCAGTTCATGGTTTTCTCAACCTCCTTCTTTAGAATCCCATTTCTGTTGTCTTAAGTCTCTTCTTCATCTATGAGGAGATTGTCCAGAATTTACTGCTATACAGATATTACATAACTCTTCATTACTATAATTTTGGGATCGATTTTAGGATAAATTATTTTTAATAAAAATAAAATGTCCATCTTTGTATATTTACTGAATTTATTTTTTCTATTCAAGAGCTTTTTTTTCAATGATTTCAAAAAATCAATTGTGAAACATGTTGAAATTTTAATGAAATTTTTGGTATTTTTTTTATTCATTAATAAATTAATTTCATAATGAATAGCTTTCTTTGATTTAAAAAAAAAAAATCCTTGAGAAAATATTTTTATTACTTAACAGGAAGGTTTCAACATTTGGTCATTTGAATAAAAAAAAAATTCCAATCTCTAATTTTTACATTTCTAGAAAGATCAAAACGAGTTCCTGTTCAGACATTCACATTTAAAAAAAAAAAAATTTTGTAAAGAATATTTTTCCATCTACACCCTTAAAAAGTTATTTGAAAATTTTAATTTTGTTTTTTCAAAAAAGAAATCAAAATTTTGTTTTTTTTATTCAAATTTTTTTTTCTAGTTTGGAAAATAAAAAATTTTTTTTTTAAGTTGATCCAAAAAAAGACTACAAGACCACATCAGGACATTCCTCTGATATAATTTACCTACATTTTATTCACTTAAAATTTTTTTTGATGAATTTTTTTAATAAAAATAAAATAATAGAAAATGTTTTTTTTTAAAAAAATCTTTAAAACCTTCTGCCTCAGATGAAATATTTGTAATTAAATAAACATTTTTTTTAATCTATCTAAAAAGATCAAAAAGAAAGATAAAAAGAATTAAAACTTCCCAATGTAATTTTTTCTGAGATTTTAATATATTTTTCTAAAAAAACAATTTATTAATATTTTTCATTCAGACTAAAGTTTTTTGAAGAAATAAAGAAAAATTTGTCGTCTTCTTTGAAATCTTGTAAGATTTTTCCGATTTTTAATTATTTAAAAAAATTTTTTTTCATTCAGGCTAAAGTTGCTTTTTTTTTTTTAAAGTTGTGCTCCTTCCCAAACCAGAGATCTTTTGGTCGGAAAATTAAAAATAAAATAAAATATCACATTTTTTCAAATGATTTTGTTAGATTATAAGTTATATTTTTCTCTTACTGTCCATGAAATTTGAAAATATTTGCCTTATTATTATGTTTAATTAATAATTTGATTAATTGAAATTTCCAATTATTTTTTTTTTTACATATAATAGGATAGTGATTAGATTTAAGAGCAAAATCATTGAATCAAAATAAGGATTATAGTTTATTTTGATAGTAAATGATAACACACATGGGTTTTAAGAAATATTTGGGTTTTATTGTTTTATTGCCCCAATGATGTTTACCCATGATATATTTTATGAGTCTGTGGTGCCAATCCTGGAACAGATCACCATATACACTCAAAGCACCTACACACAGCATTGGACTGACCAGTTATCCTTGGTAAAAACCTGTTAACTTCAAAACTTAAGTTTAATTTTTTATTTTATTTTAATAATTGAAACATTTTAGAACAAAGCAGTCTTCATTTAAATTTACAAATTAGGAAGAGGCTTTTTTGCCAGTCACTGCATAATAACGACCCCCTCATTATTTTTTTCAACATGATTGCTATGACATTATGAAAGGAGTCTAAATTATTTATTCATTCAAAAAAAAAACAATTTTATTTATTTGGTTATCTTCAAGATACACAATCCCAAAATTTTCAGCTTATTTTTTTAAAGAATGCTCTCTCTTTATAGTAGCAGTAGGAGCCAGCCTTTGTACACTTTTTTGATTTGCTTTTTTTCATGGAAATTCTGAAATAATGTTTGATTTTTTTCAATTCATTGTTAAAAAAAAATTTTCAAATTTTATTAAAAAAAAAAATTCTATTCATTCAAAAACGTTCATTGATATATATTTATTTAAAAAAATGCCCAAATTAATTTATTGTAAAAGAAAATTATTTAAAAATTCAGATGAAAAATCAAATTTATTTTCCAAAAAAAAAAAAGATCAAAAGAGTGTACGAGGCTGACTCCTGCTACTAATTTGAAGATGGCATTCCTTAAAAATAGCTGAAAAATTCAGGAGTGCATATCTTGAAGATAACCAATTATTTGCTTTTTTATTGGATAATGTTGATATAAAACATTGGATCAGTTGAAGAATCCCCCCTGTAAAATTTTCGCTCCAATTTAACTCAACTGTAGAATCTCCTCCCAGAATGATCAACTGTAGATCTTTGAAATTTGATTTTTTTTCTTTTCAATTGAGAAAAAGATTGAAGATTTTTTAAATAAAGAAAAAAATTTGTAGTAAAAAGTAGAACCAGAAATATACAAATAAAAATTTGTTTACATTTTGAAAGTTTTTTCTTACTAAACTTGCAATTTTTAAAGCTCAAAAACTGTATAAATATCATGCTCTTCAGAGATTTCAATAGATTTTCCATAAAATCACTATTTTAGAATTATTATGTGAAAATAACAACATTCTATATTAAAATTTTAATTTTTTAGAGATTTTTAAACTAAACATTTTCAGAAAAATCAAATCTACTGCATATTACAAGATTAACTTTTTATATTACAAACTAAGAATATTAAGTTTGTGATATAAAAAAGCTAAGTTTATTTAGATGTAAAATTTTCAAATATTACACTTTAAATTCTTCTGGAATGATTTTTAAAATATTTTTAAATATTTATTTAAATCAACTGTTTTCCCCCCATTTGTTCATGTGGAAAGAATTCATTGGGTTTTTTTTTCAAATGATTAAAGATTTGTTTCTTAACAAAAACAAAAAAAAGTTAAGTCAGAAATTAATTTTTAATATTGAAACTACTAGAGAATGTTTATTGTTTTAAAAACTTTATTTTAAAACATGAATATTTTTTTTAAATAACCATAAATAAATAAATTGTTATTAAATATTTCTGTCCTTATCAGTTTAGTTTCATTACCATCTTTCATAATGCCGTTTAAATTAAAAAAAGTGGACAAAATAATGGAAAATTAAAAGGGCAGTTGTTTGTTGAATTGTAACTGGGACCTAAAACATTTCAAAATTTATTCTGATTGTGAAACCAGGGAAAAATAGGTTCAAAAACTATGGAGAATGGAAAATGTTTTGAAATCAGGTTGAACTTTAATGAACAAATCTCTTTAAAACTGCTGACAAATTCCTAAAGACAGAGCAACAAAATCAAACTATGAAAATCCAAAATGGAAGATGTTGGAAATGACCCTTAATAATGGTGGTTACCTTTGGCAGTAAATTACAAGAACAAACTTGAAAAAAAAACAAATAGACAGGTTTTAAAACGGTTAAGATGTCATCAAGATGTGACTGAAAGAATCTGCCTTTTATAGGTCATTGAAAGGTAAATTTAAAGAGAACTTTATAGAACTTGTTGAAATTATGAGACAAATATGATCTTGTTTTTGGAAAACATTACTTGAAAAAAAGTAAATGATAACCGGCAGTACTTGTCTCTGAAAAT